GCCCCCTAAATCTTGCAACTTTTGTTTCTGAAAAACCAGTGCCATGTGAATCATGCTGCCAGGTTTTACATTTGGCTGGGATGAAGCCTGGTTCCCTTGGACCACAGTTCCAACTACCTGGTGAAATACTTCCTTAGGCAGAGAACCCCTTTAGCTGCATATCCCCTTAAACTCTTTTCAAATTTTACAAGACAGAGCCTTTGGTGAGTGAACACCTTTCCTCTTGCTCCAGTACAGAGCAATGTTTCTCTTTAATGGTGCTAGTAATAGCTAGTTATATACAGCCAGTTTTGAACCTGCCTCATCTGTAACTTCAAATTCACTCACAGTTTTTTCCACTAAACTGCACATTTTTAATTCCTTCCTGCTCCACTTTTTGCTCTTTTTCTCTGTATAGTTGGAGGAGAGCAGAAAGCAAAACCATGACACAGCCTGAATGAATACTTTCCTTCTTGACATTTCTTATGCTTAATGGGTCAGCCTTGCACAAGTTCTCAGGATATTGGCAGAAGGCAGGCACACTCTTTACCAGAATAGAACACACAGAGTGTCCAGCCCAGTCCCTGATAGAGTCCCCATCTGACGTATCATGACCTAGTCTTCCAGTCCTAGCGGAGTGGCCCATTTGATTTTGCTTTTCAAATTCTCAGGCTTTTCTGTCCCTGTGTTCCTGACTCCTCCACATTCCTTCTTTAAACCAGGTCTAAAGGCCTACGACAGTCAGGTTATCACAGCAGCAGCTCTGCTTCTTGGTGCCAGTTTTCTGTATTAGCTACCTTTCTTGTTAACTCTGATATAATACCAGATAAAAGCAACTTGACTCACAGTTGAGGACACAGTGTAGCACGAATAATAAAATCCCAGAGACAGATATTGGGGCTCAAGGTGAAGATCAGAAAAGCACAGCAGCCAAGCCACCAGAGAGCTCTTACCTCTACCAAGGCTGGGAGATCCTGTCCTCAATGTGGCTGGAGACAAATTGCCTAAGACTGAATGCCAGCTCTGAGACCTTGCTCCTGTCTTAAATACCTCTCTACTGCTGGCCCTTTAGTTTATTCTTCAACATTCTTAAGTACCCAACCAAAAGTGGGGACATGGCAAAAGACTTGTATTGTCATGTGTAAGGAGCAAACAGACTTACTTCCCTTAATCCTCCAGGCATTTGGTAGCCACACCTGTTATCCCTTCTTCAGGGTCAAGAGCAAACACACCTGAGCTCAAGTCTGTTGTTGTTTGGATAAGACACCAACTAACAAGGCTGAAACATCCTGCAGTAGCCAAGCCTTAGACCTTTAGGCCTTTTGACTTATTAAGGACAGTTTTGAACTCTCTGACCTTGAGGAAAGATGAAGCAGACCCATCTTTATGGGCCCCAACAGGAAGGACAAAGAGGGAGAGCAAGGAAAGAGATATCTTGATTGAGGGAGTCATTATGGGGCTATGGAGAAACCTGGAACCAGAAAAATTCTCAGGAATCCACAAGAATGAACCCAACTAAGACCCTAAGTATCAGTGGAGAGGGTGCCTGAACTGGCTTCCCCTGTAATCAGATTGATGACTATCTGAAATATCATCATAGAATCTTCATCCAGTAACTGATAGAAGCAGATGCAGAGATCCACAGGTAAGCATTTGAAGAGAGGGAACAAAGATGTCAAGATTATTTTGGGGATATCCACAGAAACAGCTGAACTGAACTAGTAGTAACTCATGACTCTGGACTGACAGGGGTGGGGGAACCTGCATCGTACCAAACTAAGCCCTCTAAATTGGGTGACAGTAGAGTGGCTTGGGCAGTCTGTGGGACCACTGACAGTGCGACCAGGATTTATCCCTAATTCTTGAATTGGCTTTTTGGAGCCCATTCTCTTTGGAGGGATACCATGTTCAGCCTAGATATGGGGAGGGAGGGGCTTGGTCCTGCCTCAAAGCAAGGTGCCAGAGTTGGTGAACTCCCCATGGGAAGCCTTACCCTCTCTGAGGAGTGGATGGGGTAGGGTGCGGGGAAAGAGGGGTTAGCAGGAGGAGGGGAGGAAGTGGGAACTTGGATTGGTATGTAAAATGGGAAGAGATTGTTTTTAAAATAAGAAAATGATATAAAAACAACCCACAAACTAGCAGTTTTTAAAGGTTAGTTATATCAAAGCAGGCTTTTGTCTGCTTGGTGGTTTTCGGTGTCTGTAAGCATGGCTTCCGCATTCTTTCTGCCCAGTTCTTGTCATTGCAGTGTTGTGAGTTTCACTACTCTGACATAAAGTGTGTGCTTATTGGCTTTTATGCAGCTGTTGACTTGTTTTTGTTTTCTGGTTGCATTTGGTGCTTTTATGGGAGAGATTTAAAGAGTCAAGCCACTTACTTGAAGGCTTACAAACAAACACTTGTCAGAAAACAAAATATGTCAATGTAGTTACAGACCCTGTTAACTTTTATTTTCAGTTCCTTAACCCCAGTTATGTAAAATACGTGAGCATGCGCACTGGACACTAGCTGAACAGTGGGTTTTGTAAAATTGGAACAAAACAACAACAGTGAAGAAAGCTGATGAGTTAACATCAGGTTGCTTTTTTCTTTTAAAGTTTTTTCTTCTTTTTTATGTGTGTATGAGAGTGAGTATGGGTGCTTCATGGAGGCTCAAAGGGTGTAGGGCCCTCTGGAAGAGCAGAAAGTTTGTAACCCTGAGCCATTTCTCTAGCTCCAGGTTACATTTGTTTGTCTGTTAGTTTGTATGTTTAAGTTAAAGCAGAAGGAGTTAGCAGAAACCTGTTTTCAGGACAAATTGATCAGTTTGGGGATGCATTTACTTCCTTACTGTTTGTATTTAACTGTGTGGCATTGGTGTAAAGTATGTGCGGGTGAAGTAGGGTGGATGTTGGGTATCTTCCTCTGAAGGCAGAGTAAGGAAGTCCACGTACACACGAATAAGAATAGCATATTTATTTGGGGAGCACTCACAATGGAGATAAATAGACGTCATGTAGGTGCTGGAAACCAAACCCAGGTCTTCTTGCAGGAGCAGCAAATGGTCTTTATTTCTGATCCAGCTATCTAGCCCCCTCCCTCTTATCTGCTCTTAAATTGTGTTATTTTGCTTTTTATTGTTACGTCATAGCTTTTGTTCCTCCTAAATACTTGACCTTTATCAAATACATTTGAAAATATTTGCTCCTAAGGTCTGGGAATTGTCTCATTTATGTGATATACCCTTTAAAATATGAAAGTAATTCTCTGGGGTTTTGTGTGTGTTTTATCCCTGTGCTGGGACCCATCTCAGGACCTGTTATATAAGTGCTCTGCCACTGAACTAGAGGCCAGCTGTTTGTGGGTCTGGTTTTATGTCTTTTTGTTTGTTTTGTTTGTTTGTTTTGGATTTAATACTTTGTATCATAATAAAGCATAGCTTAGTCTAGGACAAGATTTTTCTTCTGAATTTTGTATCTCATATTTAATAATGTGACTGTTTTGATTTAATTTTTTGCTGTGTGTTATGTTATCTTTAAAACATTTTGAAATCACTATGAAAAATGTAGAATAGCTGATTATGACAAGAAGAATTCCTGAGACCTCTGCTTTCTGGTTCTTGACTGTCAGGAGCTTGGAGCTGCTATTGATACAGAGTTCTGTGCTCTTGGGGAAGCCTGAGGCAGTTCACTCTCTGAACAGATGATGGCAGTAGAGCTCTAGTGAATGAACATTCTTGGTAGTCTCAATCATCAGCATTTTTAAAGTTAGAATTTCTTAATATGTTTGACCTGTGTTCTATTTGGTAGTAGGTTATTAGGCACTAAGTGTGGAGTCATTTTAAAGGTTCTTTAATATTTAAATTTAGGGACTTTCTCTCCCATCATAAATCATTCAGTATTCTCTGTTTATAAAGCCAGTTTGTGAGATGTGGGTATGATCTGCTGATCTTGCTCAGTGTCTCCAAACATAGGACAAAATTTTCTCAAATGCACATGGTGCTTTTTCTACTTTTCTTTCATTATTTCATTCCTCCCTATGCTCTTTATGTAGTGATAAAGTAATAGAGTAACAGCCAAATCCTGGTAAATACTAAAGCTATTCACTAATTTATTCTAGGACAAACTGACAGGTTGCAGGGTATATACTATGATTATGAGGGTATATACTACAGAAGTTGGACATATGTATACTTTCCTTTTTAATTTCAGTAATAAAATTTTATATCATCTCAGAATTAGAGGTGTGTCTTTGTAACTGATTATTAGGCATAAGTTAGGTGTTTCCTTTATTTTGTGGCTATTGTGTTCAAGACAGGGAAAGACAGTCTGAAAAGATGGCTCAGTGATTAAGATCACTGACTCATCTTCCAGAGGGTCCTGGTTTGATTCTCAGTACCCACAACTGTCTTTAATTCTACTCCTGAAGAATCTGACTCCCTCTTGGCACCCAACATGCACGTGGTACACAGAAAGGCATACAGGCAAAGCATTTATACACATTTTTTAAAGGGAAGAAGTAACAAACATCAAGCACTCATTAATACTGTGCTAAGTAATATATATGTGTGTGTATGCGCGCACACACACACACACACACACACACAGTCTTTTAGCTTTAAAAAATAGCAATGCTATTATGCTATTTTTGTTCTGTAGTGTCCAGAGGGGAAAAGAGATTAAGACAACAAATAATTTAACTAGGGTTACAATTTTACAGAAATGATATACCTATATGCATCACTCTGCAACTTTTCTTAAATCCAGCAGTTTGTCTTGAAAATCTCTATCTTGCTTACTGTAACATAGATATCTGGCCAGTTGTTTTATATGATTCTGTTTTTTAAGCCACTGAAAACAGCTGCCCAGGAAACCTCTAACTTGAGCCTTACTTGACTTTTCCACTAGAGGGTGTAACAAATGATTCTTTTCTGTTATTGTTAGTAATGGAGTAATATGTTGCTTCTCCTTATGATTATCAGAAAGGAAGTATTTATTGCGTATAACTGGTATGATACCCTTCCTGTTCTGTGTTTTTTGCAGGTTACTCATTTTTGGATCCTATGATAGAGAAGCAAATGTTCATTGCACACTTGAGTTGAGCAGTGGTGTTTGGGAAGAAAAACAAAGGAGTTCTATTAAGACGGTAAAACTAGTTTTATATTTATGTAAGATTTGTTCTATGAGCATGCCTTTATTAGTACTTCTGTATTCCTAGATGTATTTATTATTGGTCATGAGCAGATTGCTATTATTTGTCTGCCTAACAGTAACTGGTAGCAGCATCACTAATAAAATAGATCACCCGGAATTAATTTGGGCAGACTGAACAAAAAGTGGTCTGTTCAGCTTTCTTTTAAAAATGGTAACACTGTTTCAGGTAAGGAATGAGAGGTCATAATTTTTGTATGTGTGTGTAGGTGCACATGTATGAGCCCACATGTAAAGGCCAGAACTTCCTGCAATTCCTTAGATGCCATCTACCTTTGTCTTTTCAGACAGGGTCGCTCACTGGCCTGAAACTCACCAAGCTGGTTAGGTTGGCTGGCCATTGAGCTCAGAAACCTACCTATCTTGCCATCTCTAGTGCTACCATGCCTGATTTTTAAAACAAAAACCAAACAAACATGGGTTCTGGAAAGTCTAACTTAGAGTCTTCGTGCTGACAAGGCAAACACTTTACTGACTGAGCTATCATCTCAGCCCATAGAAGGAATTAATTTTAATTCCTCAGGAGGCTTGTGAGTTCACAGCATTTATTAACCCAGCAGTGTTTTATGAATAATTACTTTATGGTAGGCACTGTTTCTGATGCTGGAGAAACAGTTAAAGATGAGGAGATAGTACTGCTCCCGTGGGACTGGTGTCAGCCATAAATGTGATGTTGAAGACTGGGAGAGAGGGGAAGGAGCTGTAGGTAAACCACAAAAGTGAAGATGGCTATCCCCAGATCTTGACAACCACCCCAAAGAAAACAGGGTTTTGAAAGTGATGCTCTTTAGTTCTTACCATGGGGAACAGCCTTAAATTCAAGAGTGGGTGGGATACAGTTTTCTTGGAAGAAATAGAATAATTTTGACTTGAGTGGGAAATAGAAATGAAATTAAGCTGGCAAATGATGATGTGTGCTTAATTTTGAGAAAGTTGCAAGAGTTGTTGGAGATTGTGAATGTGGTAGAAGAGGATTAAAAGTTGTGTGTGTGTGTGTGTGTGTGTGTGTGTGTGTGTGTCTGTCTGTCTGTCTGTCTGTCTGTCACTTTCCATCCCTCCCTCCCTCCTCTCTTCTCCCTTCCTCCTCCCTCCCTTTCTGATCATTTTTCCTACCTCAACTGTTTTCATTTTCAGTCAGTTTGAATTAGGGTCTCCAAGGATCGAAGTAGCTAGTTTTAGAGTTTGTGTTGAAACACATAACTGTATGAGAAAGTGTTATTATTTTGTCTGGTTAAATTTTGACTTTGAGTTGCTCATAACTTGCCATTGCTACTGGCATTTTCAATTTCCTTTATTTTATTTTTAAAGACATGAGATTAGACAGCTTTAATATTTTGAGATAAAAGTTAGTAAGACTTTTAATTTTGAATCATTATTTTAGATCTTAGCATATGTCACAGGTAGTTTTCAAGAAAGAATTTTAGGTTACTAATTGTACCAGATGTTGAAAATGTCAGCAATAGTATTTGCAATCAATAAGCTGAAGCTCTGTGTAGCTAATAATTTTAAGAAGGCAGATTGCTATTTTCCAAGGGAATTTAAATTATTAGGAGTAGAATTTGATACTCTGGGATATATGTGGGAAATTTGAGCATTAAATCTCACATCATTAAAAAAAGATGCTAAATAATTTGATGGTTTTAGGAAGTAACATACACACATACACACACAATTTTCAAGTTTAAGTCCACTTTTTTGTTGTTGTTGTTTTTTTTTTTTTTCTTTCAAGACAGGGTTTCTCTGTATTGTTTTGGAGGCTCTCCTGGAACTTGCTTTGTAGACCAGGATAGCCTCGAACTCACAGAGATCTGCCTGCCTCTGCCTCCTGAGTGCTGGAATTAAAGGCATGCGCCACCAGCGCCCGGCTAAATCCATTTTTTTAATGTTGAAATTTATTCAGTGAATTTGGCTATTAATTGCAGTGAATATGAAGCATGAAAGGAAGTCACCCACCTCTGTTCCCCTATCACTGGGGATTCAACCCAGGGTATCACACATGCTAGGCAAGTATTCTACTACTGAGCTTATCTTCTACCCTTTAACTTTTTATTTTGTGATAATTTCTCTCTAAGGCTGGATTTAAACTCGCTGACCTCCTGCTTTAGCCTTCTGAAAAGCTGGGATTACAGGTCTGCTTGTTTTGGGATGTGTCAGGGGAGGAAAGAGGAGAGAGAGTGCATGCTCAAGTGAGCATAAGTAGTAGTACAGGTATGTATATGCCACAGGACAGAACAACCTGGGGTGTGGTACTGCCAACCTGTCCAACAGTACCTGAATGGGGCAATGAAGATTAAGAAAGGAAGAGACAACAGACAGAGATGGAATTGGGAGGGCTCTCAGGGAATACTGCATCAGCCCCAAATTTATTCCTCATAGCCCTTTTATATCCAAATGGAAGGGGAAGGGCAGATTTCCTTACCATGATAGAAGAAACAAACAAGCATAATTACATTCTTATTCTCTACATATCTAGTAACCATGCCTTTGCCCAAATATCCTATTATTTGGCCTTGAGGAGCAAGAATGAGCTTGAGGTCTCTGACCTTAAGATGGAATGGAGTCACTGTGGGCTCCCACATGGTACCACCCCTGTCCCCACCTCTTACCGCTGCTGCATGTTCTAGATTAACTGCCTGTGAGCTTCTGGGGTTCTTCTGCCCCTATCTTGCATGTCATGGGATTATGGAAGTTTGCTGTTGCACCTGCCTTTATTCAGGTTCTGGGGAAAACTCAAGTCCTCCTGGTTTTGCAGCAAGTGCTTTACCTGCATCTCCTACTTAAATGCTTTTTAGACACTATTTCCAGGGGTTTTCACCTAACAGCTCTCATTGGTAGAACTGAGCCATATAGTATGGGAAACCTGTGTGTGTGTTAGTATGTATTCGTGTAGAGGCCAGAGGTCAACCTCTGGTTCTTCTGGGGCTGTCCACCTTTGTTTCTTCAGGTGGGATCTTTCACTGGCCTGGAACCCACTGAGTAGGCTAAATTGGTTGGCCATTGAGCAGTGAGCTCCAAGGATCTACCTGTCTCTGCCTCCCCTGCACTGCGATTACAAGTGCGTGCCAACAGGGTGTCTTCTTGTTTGCTTGTTTGCCTGCTTGCTTTGTGTTCTTTTAATGTGGGTACTGGAGGTCAGATTCAGATCCTCACTCTATCCTGGTAAGCACTTTTATCAGCTGAAGAATAGAATTCTGAATGATTTTGGGTAGCTAACACACAAGAAAACAAACCTGCTTGACTGTTTGATAACCTTTTTTTTTAAGTTAATAGAAGTAGGCGGGGTGGGGGAGGCATTCTAGAAGTGAGTGCGCTAATGAGCTGGACAGAGGTGTGTACCCAGAAGCACTGTGCTAGCAGTCTTAAGGCCCTTTGTACCTACACCCTTTCCACTACACCTGTCTTCTCTAGCATTTGTAAGTCTTAGGCTGTTTTCATGGTATTCATTCTTGCATGTAGCCCACGTGGGGAAATGTTTCCTAACCTCTGCCAACTGGCTTTTGTATGCTAATAATCTTGATGCTGTTTTCTCCTGTTACTATTCCTGCCACAACTAACCCCATGAAATAACTATGTAAAGATAAATGGATGAGGGGAAAACTAGTGTTATCAACTGAAGAGATAGGTGACTAGTAAATCCAGGTATTACCAGGTGGGGAACTCAGTCTGTGGAATTATGAAAAGAAATCTCATGCCCCTGACGATTAATGCTAATAGAAACCTTACTGCAAGTCACACAAATGTTGACACACAAATATTAATATGCTTCTTATGCGATCTGTTATGTGATTCATTGAGTGAACGTTCTGGAAGGAAAGAGGAGATCTGATTGGCAGAAATTATTGTATCACAGTGCCTGATTAAATCCCTGTGTGATTCCTTATTACTCTAATGATAAGGGCAGATTCCTTGGTAGGGTCAAGAAGGGGAACTGCCTAGCCTGGTTCCTGTCTTTTTTCTTGCTCATTTTCTTCCCTCTAGTCTCAACTTTAGTCATACTAGCTTTCAATCCTTCTTACTGACCTTATTCTGTACTGTATATCTCAGATAATTGTGCACCCTTCCGAAATTGTCCTGAAATTCTTTCTTGAAAAGTGTGGTATGCTAGCCCATCTTGTTTCTCCATATACATTTATATTCTTCAGAATTCTGCTTGTGCCATCTCGGCCTTAGCTTGCTTGCTCTTGTTTAGATAAATTCCTGGACTTTTGTCCTGGTTCATTCCTGGAGAGGGCTGACCTCAGACTGTGGTGATATATTATTTATGATTTATTAAAGTTTGCATGAGGATTCAGAAAGCAAAGCCAGCCACACATCTTTAATTCCAGCAGCCATACTAGCTAGCCAGGCAGTGGTGGCATACACCTTTATTCCCAGGACTCAGGAGACAGACAGATGGATCTCTCTGAGTTCAAGGCCACCCTCACCTACACAGGAGTGAAGAATAACAGAGCTCATGCCTTTAATCCCAGCACTAGGCAGGTGGAGACAGGAGTGATATTGATGGGCAGAGAAAGGAGTAAAAGGAGGAGGAGAAGGGAACTGAGAGCTTTTGCCTGTGAGGATTTGTGGAAACGGGCTTGCCGTTTCGGCTTGGTAGAGGTAAGATTACTGGCTTGGCTGCTTTGCTTCTCTGGTCTTCAGTTTGAAGCTTGAACCCCAATATCAGTCTCTGGGTCTTTTATTTTTCATGTTACATCACACAGCTGTATTTCAGTTTACAGTGTCAGTAGCGTTCAACTATAGTTGGTGGATGTGAAACACTCCTAGGAAATGAGAATGGACTGGAGAAAGAAACCAGGGTATTCTTCCTCTAACCGTAAACCTGCCTGGCAGCTGGTTTATCTTCTTTGGCACATGCTTCTCACAGAACAAGCCATCATTCCAGTTTCTGTTCTTAACCTCTATCCTTCAGTCTAAAGTTGATGGTGACTTCTTTTACTGGTATCTGAGTTTAATACTATTATCCTATTTGGAACTCAGTTCTTCTGTCACCAACTAGTTTTTCCATTTGTAGATTGCCCTTGCTTTCAGATATTGAAGAATTTTCACTTTCTGTGCCAGTGTCATCTGTATCCTATAGTCCTCACTTCTTCTGGGAAACTTCTCCTAATGAGCACAAACCTGCTTATTAATTACTTGTCACACTGGAGTATTTTAGTTATATTTGTATGATAATTTGATCAGTGTTATCTCCAGCAGTATCTTCCATTACACTAAGTGCCTTGATTGGTTTTGTTCTGCATATTCAGTAAATATTCTGGGAAAACTAGATGTGACTCTCAAGGACAGGAGCCTCCAAGTAGCAGTTTTTGTTCTAGACCTTTATAGTTTTAGCATGACTTTTAGTTGTACTTTGATCTCCTTTCTCCTTCCCAGAATATTTCCTGTCTCTGTTAAGCAAAGAAAAATTTAGAACGAGGAACTCTACGAAAATGAGATTTACTGCTCAATATTGCTTTTTGTGAAGAGCTGTTTTTAAAGTGTAAGAATGTTAGTTTACAAATGTAGAGCCAAGTATTTTCTTTCTGACAATACTAAAACATCAACAGATTGCCTCCTGAGTGTAGTTCAGCATTGCTGAAATAAATGGCTTGTTGTTAGTTAAAACTGAACTGTCTTCACTTCCTTTTCATTTTGGAGACTTTCAGAACCTTGTTGGGTAATAATGAATTAAAAATCTACATTTCCAGATCTGTCTACGTACTATTGACAGTGCCTACAAAGGATTTAAAAGGACTCTGAAAACTGTAATTTTAAGTGAGAACATTTGAACAGAGACAGACAGACTTCTGAATACATTAGACCAGATGCCTAGGACTTGGCATTTTGGTGTATTTACTCAAGGCCAGCATGCCTGGCAGGTTGAATTTTGGTGTGCCTATTTAACCATTTGCCATTTGCAGTCTTAATCTTATCAAAAGGAAGAGAAAAATTAAAGCAAATAAAGCTTTGTTTAAAATGTCAGTCTTTTATGAAAACTTTGGTTTAGTTCAGCTTGATAACATTTGAGAATGCAGTAGGGACTCAATGAAATTTTAACCATATGTAATATTTTATAATTGGTTTCTTAAGTGAGTCAAATGCCTTTCAGCTCTAATAGTAAGTCCTGTACAACATTTCCATTCTTAAAAGTTCTTCTTAGTTAAAAATAAGGAACAAAGTTCTCTGTCCAGCTTTCTACCTTCTGTTATGATTGTGACATTCCAGGAAGGAGTAAGAATTTATGTTAAAATACTGTTTACTTCAAATCAAATTAGTGTAAGACACTAAGAATGAGGGGGAATAAACAATACGGGGTACAATTTATTTTACGATCCTTCTTGTCAAGAATAGATCAGCATTCCTGTGTGCATCATGTATTGCTACTAGCAGCTCAGACTATATCAGAGCTTCAGTGCAAGGGTACTGTGAGCTTCCGGTGAAGAACAGTAGCATTCTTTGGGAAAAACTAGTAAACAATGTGTTAAAGAGGTGACAGGTAAAAAAAACTTCAAGAATAAAAGTTTTAAATAGCATCTGAAAAGTGCTATTACTTCCAAGGCAGTACAGACTATGGAGGCGTTTAGAATAAAAGAGTTTAAATCCGAATCTCTCTTAAGGCAAGCTAAGAGTGGGACTCAAGTCTTAGCAAGGCCTCCTTTTGGCAGCAGGCCAAGTTAAAGTCTAAATCCATCTCATCTACAAGCACATTGTTATTTTGTAACTAAGACTGTGTTGCTCCTCACAGTCTCATGAGAGGCAGGTCCTTCTGTAAATGTCTGGCACAGCTCCTAGAGTCAAGGATGTGGTCAGCTAAGGGAAAGACTTGAAATAGTAGAGGAGAATAAAGATCTAAACTAGGTTGGTGATTATGGAGATAAATGGAATCAGGATGACTATGGATATTTCTGGAAATGGGAGAGTTTTAGAGAGGTAGCCAGGGAGTTTTAAGGAGGTAGACACAAGAGGAAAAAGCATGTATTTTGAGCAACTTAGGTTTGAAATGATAGTGACTAACAAAGAGCACTCCAGAGATGGAGTTTTCTGTTGATTTGCTGTTTTTGTTTTTATATTTTCAGTGCTATTATTTTAGCTCTCTGTGAACTTTTACATTGAACATTTTTTTGGGGGGGGCATCATGCCTGCTTTGTAAGCCTCTTCCTTCAAGTAGGATAGGAGAAATAGTGATTTCATAATATAGTGGTGAAAATTAAGATTCATTTTGTATTTTGGCAGTGCTAGGGATCAAACCCAGGGCCTTACACGTGCTAAGCAAGTGTTACAGCAGATCTACATCCCCAACTCTAATTTTTTTGTTTTTGTTTTTTGCTTTTCAAGACAGGGTTTTCTCTCTGTAGCTGTGGATCCTGTCCTAGAACTCCCTCTGTAGACCGGCTGGCCTTGAATTCACAGAGATCCACCTGTCTCTGCCTCCTGAGCACTGGAACTAAAGGCAGTGTCCGTCACTATTGCCCGGTGCTCTGTTGTTTTTTAAGGGCTGTTGAAGGGGCTTGGGAAATGGCTAGGTGAGCTGTGCTTGCCAGTAAGCATGAAAAAAACTGTGTAAAAGCCAAGAATGGTGGTAGGAATCTACAACCTCAGCCACAAGGACTTTGGGAGGAGGGTTGACAGCCAGATCCCTAGAGCTCACTGGCCAACCTGTCTCTGGACAAATTGCTGAGATCTGGTTCGGTGAGAGAGCCTGTCTCAGAATATAAGGTGAAGGTGAAGAATAATGGAAAATACCCAACACTGACCTCTGACCTGCACATATACATAAACATGTGCAGAAAGGAGCTGTTGAGAGAAAACTAGAGAGGTAACAGTCACAAAATATAAGCATTACTTTTAAGTTCTATTTGTTAATATAGAAGAACTGAACTCAGGAACTAACATGCTTTTCAAAGCACAGTAGCACCTCATAAAATCTTTTTCACAGGGTAGCTTGTTTTCTGAGTCATACATAGATGCAGAGCTGGGTCAGGAATGTGGTAAAGGTACTGCCAGGATTCATGCAATTAAGTGGTATCCACCTTACTACCCACAAATACTCAGTCAAACAGAAAATAATGCCCAATTAGCAAGCATCAGAGGCATTCTGTAAACCCAGACTGAGTGATCCACAGCTGGCATTCTGACATAACAAATTTGACTTCAACAGAAGTAAGAAAACTGGTGGTTTTGGATCAAATATGAATAACCATGACCAGGAAACATGAATTTGGGTTACTCTGAATGACATATTCCATCATGGAAACAGTTACACAAAACAGTTACAGTCACAGAACAAAAAAGTAAAGTCATAAATCAGGCAAGTGGATCATAAGTTAGGGGAAAATTTCTCATACAGATTTCAGATGTTATAGTACACTTTGCATTAGGATTGATTAAGGTTCTACTAAACTTACTCAGACACATCCTGAGAAGTTTAAAATTGATATAATAGAAGAATGTTAAGCCAGATATAGAAATTAAGATGGTTGGCTAAAAGGAACTTGTAACATCCATAGATTTTGGTTATGAACCTGCAGCATTCCATCTTTCCAAAATTGTATTCTAATTAGTCAATGTCAAGCAAGCAGTCTATAGGACATGTAATATCGATAACAGCTTCTTCAGAGAGAATCATGTTGCACTGTTACATCTTCTCCACAAATGGAATCCAGTATGCCTAGGTTCCAATCCACATTCTTCCATTTTAGTTTTATGATGGTGGTGCGCACTTTATTTCATGCCCTCCAGAGAAGAGGAGCCACTCCTGCCCAAGTCCTTTGTCCTGTGTCTTCAGGAGGAACTGTAACAAGGTGAGGAGGGCAAGAGAAATACTCTATATGGCCATGAGAGAAGGTGGTGATTTTTCTTTGGTTTTAAGAGTAAGAGATCCAGGGCTGGAGAGATGACTCAGTGGTTAAAAGCACTTGCTGGAGAGAATCTGAGTCCAGGTCGCAGCACCTGGTGGCTATTTTATGGTTCATAACTATCCATAACTCCAGTTGCAGATATCCAGTTATGTGTTGGAACCCTCTTCTTATCTCCAAGGGCAACAGGCATATACATGATACACACACAGGCAAAATATTCATGAAATAAAATCTAAAAAAGGTTTTGAATTAAAAACTATTGTTAAAGATAAGAAAGACAAGTGGTGACCTTAACATAAACAGGTTTACTATAATAAGGGGCATGGCTTATTTGAGAGAATGTCCTTGTTAGGGAATATTGAAGTAGCTAATGAAAAAGGGAATCATGTCTGAGCTTTATTGTTAGGTGATTCAGAAAATATGCAAGAGAAGAGAAAATGTGGTGAAACACTAGTCAAGACATATGGCTAAGGATAAATAGGAAAAATTGTGACTTTTCTGTTACTTCTGAGATTATTTCAAGATATAAAGTTATTTTTAAGAAAATCATATTTTTAAAAATCTTTCCCTACATCTCCCCTCAGACTTGGTCACATCTGAATCACTTTGCAGAAGTGTGTAAAGGTTGACTTGGTGACTCAGATTAAGAACTGTTTCTCTGACAGGAATTTCAAAGGACACAAGTATTCTATAACAACCTTAGCCTTTGACTACTTTTCTTAGCATTTTATTTCACTAGAATGGTTGTGTAAAATTTAAATTTGTTTCATATCAAAGCATTAATGAAGGCTTTAATCAAATTTAAAAAGAAACTCTAAGCATATTGATGATTCAGATGGAATTACTTTAACAGCCCTTTGAACCTAAGTAGAAGACCAAAGCCATTTATTTTTACTCCTTAGATCTTTTAGGTCATTTGTGTTTATAGAAGGAAGTTTCTGTTCCCAGTGTATTTCGGTGTCTCTGTTGTATCTTTGTGACTGAAGGATATAGTCCTGCTTTACCATTCAGTATCTTTAGAAGCTAAGTCACCTGATGGCCAAGCTGCCATTGTGTTTGGAGAGGTCTTTCTTGTTTTTCATCTAAAAGAAAGTCTTTCTGAAGAAAGACTGTGGGGATATCCTGTTTGTGTTTGACATTTACGCCCAGTTTCATTTAATCATGACAACAGCCCAGTGTCCTAAGATAGTGGCCTCTTCACTGTGCCTTGGATATGGTTTGTTTCTCCTAAAGGTTAATGTGTTGGAAGCTTGACCACAGTTTGGCAATACAGAAGATGATAGAACCTTTAAGGAAGTGAACCCTTAGGGGAAGTCCTTGGGTCACAGAGTTATTCTCAAAAAAATTAATGTAGCTCTCATAGGACCCCTGAAACTCTCAGTCTTTCTGGCTTCCTGCTCTTTTCTCTTACACATGTTCCCGTTGTAGTAAGTGAGGCCACTTACTATGCAGTCCTCACAAGAGCTGACTGGTGCCATACCAGTGAGCCTCCAGAATAGCTAAGTAAACCTCTTTTCTTCACAAATACAGATAAAGATCCTGATACAAATTCTGATACAGATCAGGATTTTTTTGTTATAACAAATATGAATTAAGATATTCTCTTTATAAATAAATTCTACAATCCAGATGTGATGGTGCATGCATTTTAGTCCCAGCACTGGAGACAGAAGCAGGTAGGTGTCTGTGAATTTGAGGCCATCTTGGTCTATATAGTGGGTTCCAGGACAGCCAAGGCTAAACCAGGGTTATATAGTGAGACCCTGTCTCAAAAGTAGAAAAAGAAAGGAAGGAAGAAGGGAGCGAAGGAAGGAAGGGAAGAAAGGGACATAGGAAGAGATAGAAAGAAAGAGAACAACAGAAAATAAGTCCCATAGGACTAAATAACTTTCCAGATTTGATAAAACTAATACTTTAAGCCAGAATTCAAACCCCAGCTGAGTACAAAACTATCCTAGGTAACTTTTAGTTGTCCTTCAGAGTTTTTTTCAGTATGCCATAACTATTGGGACTTGGGAGACTAAGCTAATTTTGGTGGGTTTTCACTGTTCATTGAACATTAACTACTAAAAAGGCAAACATCATTCCAGTAAGGAAAATTTTACCTCTATAGTTCATATGAGAGAATTTAATTTAGGATTCATTTTTATCCTATACAGATCTACCCATTTAAACACCATGGCATATGAGGGTATGGGGCAGGAGATTATTGTCATCATTGAGACAAGGATATAAACATTTACTTCTCCAATTTTACTTTGTAAAAATTTATGAATAGGTTAAACTGTAATGATAGACATTTGAAACTATAGACAATTTAATTCTACATATCAGGGACTTATCTATCATTATTATATTAAATATTTATTTTCAAGCTCTGAATTATAATTGAGAGGTCAAAATTTCTAAAGCTAGGGCTGTACAAGATGGCTCTTTGACTAAAATCTGACAACCTGAGTTTGATCCCAGGACCTACCCGGTACAGAGAACCAACTTCCCTTGAGTTTTCTCCGACTTCCACATGTATCTCCTCCACACACATACAATGAATAAGTGTAATAAAAATGTGCTTTTAAGATTTCTAAAAAGAACAACTTTTATGTTGCATAAGTTTAACTGTTTGCAAGGTAAACATTTATGTACTTGGCAGACAAACATGTTAGAAATGTAACTGTTTCACTGAATACCAGTTGTTGGTTCATTTGCTCATGATTACAGAGCACAGATTGTAACCAGACTGGGAACTAACTGCTTTCTACTCAAATAGAAAGCAACATGCCTGTGAAAGATCTATATGGATAGATGTTGTTTCATTTGATTTTATAATTCACTGCCTTTAAAAGTCACAACCATAATTCATGAACCTACTGTCTCCATTAGTACAAGTCATAAAGAGAAACATATTCTTGTCCGTGTTCATTTTCTACACTCCCCACATACAAGTATAAGATAAACAAAAACGTGGTTCAGTTAGAAATGACTGAGTTAGATGTATTAGTACAATTGCTTAATTTTTAATGAGTTATAATTCTGAGAAATTAATAAAAAGCAACATTTAGATTCTATCATAAAGAAAAATCCAAAATAATGAATCTCTGCAGATCATCCTGGTGTTGGTCTAGTCTCCTAAGCAAATATAGATTGGAATTCTGATCCAGTTTGGACAAGTTGGTATCCCTAAACCATCTATCAAGGCAAGTCAGTAGAATTGTGTCATGTGGCATGCATGGCTGTGCCTATTAACCATATGCAGGATAGGAGGATAGCAGAGATGATTACTCAAGCAAGGAGGATTAGAAAATATTAGTATCCACAATAGGTATATAATGGGCATTTAATATTATTGGTTTTATTCCTTTTTCTTAAAAAAAAAAAGCCATTAAGTATCTCAGAAGCATACTGAGTAGACTTTGTATACACCATATATTTATTGAAAGATAATGTACTATAGGATCTTTTATTAAATAGAATTGTAGAATTCTTTGATAGGTCCATGCAGTGCTGCGGCTTTTCTCTAGTAAAGCCAACTCTGTTATAATCAGGATTGTAGTCTCAGTTAAGTCAACTGATAACTAGACAATTTAAATTTCCCATTGTGCCTATCACCACTCTCCAGTAGTGCCAAAACTGTAACCCTAAATGATAGCCTTATCCATTTCCCCAGTTTCTCATGCTTTAAGACATAGCCAAATGCCATACCTAGACCTTCCCAGAACACTCACCCAGAGGCAGGCACTTCCTATCCTGAATTCCCATCGCATTCTTGGAGTGCAGCTTAGTCTCTAACGAATTTCTGACAAAGATAGGGTTCTGTGATCTTAGCTATCTAAAGCCCTGGAGTTATATGTCTTCTATCATAGAATTGATCTTGAAGGGTTTGACCTGAAATTTTTCAAAAAAATCCATGAATATAGCAAGCTAGTTAAAAGTGTTAGGAATACTGATATGGAATGAGGTGATTGCAACAGGTGGTGCCACCAGGTGGCAGGTCCCGCAGCAGGCGAGGGACAGCAGGCAGACAAACACCCCATCAGGCAGAACATACATGGAAAGGAAGTTTTGTTGGGAAGGGATTGGGGGAAGGGGGGGTGACAAAACAGACAGGGATCTGTCTGCCTCCTCAGGGAGATGGTGGGACAATAGAGGGCAGATGAGTGGAATTTGCCTCTTAAAGGGCCAGGGTACAAAGTATACCAGCCATGCTCACAGAGGGATGGTGCACTGTGCCAGGGTCCCAAGGGATGGAGTCAAGTTTGCCTGAATTACAACAAAAGTCAGAGGTGTAGTGGCTTCATTTATTCCTGTCCCACTCCCCACCCCCCAACCCAGCCATTCTGTCCTGATGCTTGCTTGGGACAGTGAGGAAGCTAGGTTTTCATAGTTTTCTAAGAGAAAAGCAAAAGACACATTTCCACAGTGCAAAGGGACTTTGAACAAGGTGTTCTAGCAATATGAATTGCCTTGCTGCCTTGTTTGTAGTTTATCTCTTTTCCCTCCCTTGTCTATGCCTGTCCTGGAACTCACCAATTAAGTTAGGCTGGTCAGCCAGCAAAACTCAGTAATCCTGCTGTCTCTACTTCCCCAGGATGGGAATTACAAGGCACACCACTTCTTTTCCTTCCTTCCTTCCTTCCTTCCTTCCTTCCTTCCTTCCTTCCTTCCTTCCTTCCTTCCTTCCTTCTTCTGGGGATTGAACTCAGGTCCCCATCTTTATAAAATGAGCAGTATGACTTGAACTCTCTTCCAGCACCACCATATATACTTATATTAAATATATATTATAGTATAATATATAACTAAACATGTATGTTAACCATATATAGATGTCTTATAGGCATACACACACAAAAATAAAAATAAGCCCTTAGAAGTTTGACGTTTATCCTAATTATTTTCATAGAATAAAATAAAAACTTAGAATGTTTTTTGTGGAATTTTTGCTTTTGGTACAGTGTTCTTTTTTCTATCTATATCTGGCTTAATCTAGTATAAATTAAATAAGTAAAGTTTCCTCTGAAATAGTGCTCTGTGAGTTAGGTACCTTAAGACAAAATTGACATATTTGGGGGATTATCCATTCATTGCTATCTGCAGTGACAAGTTTTCTCCTCCCTTCCCAAGACACATACTTCCCCTTTTTCCTTTGTTATGTGTAGTCCTTCCCATATGGTGTTGACATGGTGTGGTGATATATTGATTGTACTCTAACAAATAAAGCTTGCCTGAAGATCAGAGGGTGGAGCTAGCCACTAGCTAACCAAAGAGGTCGGGAGGTCTGTACAGACAGACAGGAAGTAAGATTGCTGGGTGGAGAGAGGAATATAGGCAGGAGGAGACAGGAACCAGTCTCTTTTCAGTCTGAGGATTTCATAGAGGTAAGAGCTCCAGTGGCTGGCTGCTCTGCTTCTCTGATCTTCAGGCAAACTTTGTTTGTTAGAGTATAAGGTAGTAGAAATGCCTTGTTACTCAGGCAGGAAATATTAACTCTCTCATCAATTAGCTTTATGTTGTTTATAGATTTTTATAGTTCTTCACAATCAAGTTTAGGAAGTTCTCTTATATTTCTAGCTGGCTAAGAGTTCTTATTATGAAAGGGTGTTGGGTTAAATGGGTTTTCTTTTGTATTTGTTAAAATATTTTTGGCTTTATCCATTATTTTGTTACTGTAGTAAACTAACTGATTCCTGAGTGGTTGCTAACCTCTAGTTATAGAGTGAACTCCACTTACGATGATTATACTTTGTTATATTACTGAAAGGGATTTTACATCCATATTTGGATATTACAGACACTGGTATATAGTTTTGTTATTCTTGATTTGTCCTTATCTGTGTTTGGGATCAGTGTAACATTAACATTTGATTAGGTAAGCATGTTTTTATTTCTTCATGAGGAACTACCAACAGCTAAGTCTGTGTACTGTAGTTAGGAATCCATGGCCTGCTGCCTCTACATGGTTTGAACCCAGCTTGTGTTACAAGAGACCCTGTCTCAAAAAATAATTCTCTAAAGGTTTACAAAGCCTGTCAACACAAAAACTAAAGAACAGTTTTTAATAAGGTCTCTTTTACCAACTACCAGTCACCAGTTAGGAGAAGCGAATTTCTAACTAAGCAGAATTTACATAGTAAAGCTCTAAAAACAGAGATAGCTATCCTTGGATATTAGCAGGAGTTTTAGAAACATATCCTTAAAAAGCAGGACCCATAGGCGTTGGCTAAAGAATAATGCAGCTATCCTGATTCCTAATAGAGCACCAAGTGAATTATTGCCATCTGGAAGGATGTGCTGTGTTGTCCTTTTCTTCTTTTTAAATCAGCAAGTTGGATGAGAGAGAACAAATTGATAGTGCTCTTACTAATTTACAGGTGATGTTAATCTGCTGCATACATCCCTGATAATTTTAATGACAATTGTCAGATTTAGTTAAGAAAATGCTCTAAATGAGATAAATGACATCTTACTCATCAGATAAGTCTAGTAAAATATATTGGTAAACTTGCTTCCTTTACATCCCTACAGAAAATTCAGCAATATAGTCATCTCTCTGCAGTGAATTAGTTCTTGCTCGGAACTCCTCACCCCTCTTTAATATAAAATGGCATTTAACTTATACATATCCTCTTTATACTTTAACTTCTTTGGGTTACTTACAGAAATCATCATAGTGTGTTATTTAAGGAATAATGATAAGGTAGAAAGTCTGTACACTATCAGTACAGATGTATTGTTTTTCCTAATGTCACTTTCCTTCTTTCTTTCTCCTTCTCCCCCACCCCCCTTCCGGGGTAACCCTTTCTCTGTGTAACCGTGGCTGACTTGGAGCTCACTATGTAGACCAGGTTGGCCTCAAACAAATGATCTATCTGCTTACCTCTGCCTCCCTAGTGTTGGGATTAAAGGCATGTGCTATCACACCCAGCTTTAAATGTCTTTAAAGATTTTGTTTTATAATGTATATGGGTGTTTCGCCTGCACCTAGGTCTGTGAGCCACACCTGTGTATTGTCTGCAGAAGCCAGAAGGGGACCTCAGGTCTCCTGGAACTGGAGTCAAGACAGTTGTGAGCCACCATGTGGCTAGGAGTCAAACCCTGGTTCTCTGGAAGAGCAGCCAGTGCTCTTAACTGCTGAGCCAACTCTCCAGCCCCTTAATATTTTTGATGTGTTGTTGCTTGAAAGTAGAAGTCCAATTCGGTACTATAAAAAGTAGAGTTCCAAAGCCCATCTAACAACATGGATTATTCCCACTGGATTTGAGAAAAGCAATATTCAGAATTATATTCACCGTATATGATTATATTCACCATGTCTCAGTTTTGAAACAGTTCTCAATTTTGTATTAAAGTATAAGCAAATGCAAATTCTAGCAGTAGTTCTAGATAGTATGATTAGGGGTGGTTTTCTTTAGATTTTGTTTCTTCCAAAAGTTTTACTGTAGGTGTGTTTACTTTAAAAAGATTTATTGAATACATTTTGCTATTTATTGTTTGGCAATTTCATGAATGTATGTATTTTGATATTTGATGTATATCTTTTGATCATATTCAACACAAATCCTCTCCCACTTTCCCCAGGACCAGTATCACCCTACTTCCCTCTCCCACCTTCATATCTTCTTTTTTTGATAAACTTTTATTCTTTGAGAATTTCATACATGTATGCCAGTATTTTGATCACATTCTCTCCTTGCTCCCACCTCCAGTTTTCCCAGGCCCTCCCCCGACACATCCTCTCTGCCAACTTCATGTCCTCTTAATTTTTAGTAACTCCCTGAGTCCAATTAGTGCTTATCATAAGTGCATGGGCAAACTACCAGTGATGGCCACACACAAAGAAAAATAACTGCCTCCCCCTACAGCCAATAGCCCCTCACCCAGACCGCCCCACAGCATCTTCGTCTCCTTAGTTCATGATCGTCTCCTGCTCCTCCTTTTAAGAAATAATCCACTTGGTCCACTTGGGGTTGTTTGTGTGCACATGGGGGTGAGGCCATACACTGGAGCATAGGCAGCCTGTAATTTTTAGGACTACATTGAAGTGTTCATAATCTAGAAGTGTGTTAATTTAAATTGTTACAGTAATGACTTCATCTCTCATTTATCTGTAATTATAGTCACCATGCTTCAAAAGTCATGGCTGACTAGGGTGCTCTCAGGTGTATTACTTTCATCTCAATGTTTTCTTTTTTTTTTTAACCCTTTGCCAAAGGTTGAATTAGTAAAAGGGAATTTACAAAGTGTTGGACTTACACTTCGTCTTGTTCAGTCAACTGATGGGTATGCTGGGCATGTCATAATTGAAACCGTGGCCCCAAACTCACCTGCTGCGATTGCAGATCTTCAGCGAGGAGATCGGCTCATTGCTATTGGAGGTAATTACATACTATGAAGTATAACTTACATGTACAGAGAAATTACAAAATAGACTGGAGTGTTTTTCTCTCTTCCTTCTCCCTATACCTCAAACAGGCATCTGCTAGTTTTATAACAGAAAACCATCATTATAAACAGAATTGTAAAAGCTACCTTAGTATGCTTGTAAAACATTCACTAGGATAGTCCTGATCTCTAAATCTTTAACATATTTCATCTTTAAACCACTTTACTTCTCTAGTCTTCTTTCCCTTCCCACCGTCTCTGTGCTTATTATTGAATGCAAAATTTAGAGTAAGCTATCCCTTCTTGTATATCCGTCACCACTGTGACCCTAAATATGCTGATATTAGCACCACTGGCATCTTGTTATAGGACTAGAAAGTTAATGGGAGAGGGACTAATATTCCTGTCCCAAGAGGAAGGGTACACCCAGCACTGTTCTGAGGCTCTATACTATATGAAAGGCCAGTGGTTTGTTACTACGCTGTTATTCAGAATCCAACCCAAATCTGTGGTAAATATGTAACCTGCATACCTTCCTGCCAGCTAGATTGTTGTAAATAATAAAAATAAAAACCGGAGCAAGCTATTTGCTTGAATGTATATACCTGACAGTAGAGCTCAACTGTGCACAGCAGCACAGAAATAATACAGGCCTTTCAGACTTTGTAGTACCTGGCCCACATAAAATTGTATGTCATTTTCTTTTAAGAATATATTGTGTTCACTGGGTGTTGATGGCACATGCCTTTAATCCTAGCATTCAGAAGGCAGAGGCAGGTGGATCTCTGTGAGTTCAAGGCCAGGCTGGGATACAGAGTGAGTGCCAGAACAGGCTCCAAAGCTACACAGAGAAACCCGTCTCAAAAAAAGAATATATTGTGTTCTTTCACAGCTAAGACAGTAAAGTAGAGCAGGTAGGTCCCAATAAAAAGCAGTTATCCTTGGTTACATTAGAGAAACACTGCCTTTGGTTCAAATCCATCTTGACATTGAGATAATGGAAAGGATTTAGTTGTGCACCCAGAGGTCAATGAAGTTAGCGTTGTCACATGGAAACCCCTCTGGACCTGGCATGTACAGTGCCTTTCAAATCACAGTCACCAGGGAGAGTATTCAAAAGTCCAAAAATCTGCATATCTCTCTCTGCTTTTTTGTTTGTTTGGTGGTATATTGTGTGGTTTTTGGTTTGTTTTTGCATGTTTGTTTGATTTTTCAAAACAGGGTCTCCGTGTAGCCCTGGCTGCCCCGGAACTTGCTCTGTAGACCACACCGACTTTCAGTTCAGAGATCCAAATCCTCTGCCTCCAACTACCCAGCAAGAGTCTGCATTTCTAACAAGCTCCCTAGGCCATTCTAGTGCTCCTGGTTCACGGACACTTAGGAGGACAAAGTAGACTTTGTCTACTACATGGCTCTGTATATAAATATAAAAACCATGGTTCAATAAAAGTGTTTTGCATTAATACATATTCTGTCTTGGTCTTACCTATAGGTTACTTTAATTATTTCTTTTAAGTTTATGTGTCTTTTAAGTTCTGTTTTCAATTATACAAGTAGCAAATACCAATTACCCAAAATAAATAAGTCTAAGCCATACAAATATTTACAGAGGAAAAAAAAAGCAAAAATTACCTTTTCAAGATATCCAACATTCATAAAAGTACAAATTTTATTGATTGAAAAGTCAGATATTATATACCTTCGTTGCTGAAGTTTTGAACATAATGGAAAAACTGTTTTTTTATTTAATGTGTATGCATGTTTTATCTGCATGTGTACCACATGTATGCAGTGTTTGCAGAGACCAGTAGGAGGCATCACCTTTCCTGGAACAGGAAGTACAGAGGATCATGAGCCACAATGTAGATGTTAGGAATCAAACTCCATCCTCTGAAAAAGTACTCTTAACTGCTGAAGCTATCTCTCTAGCACCATAGAGTTCAAGTCCTACAATATATTCTTAGTGACTCTTCTTTCTTTAAATATGCAATAAACTTTGCCCTGTATTATTAGGTATTTCTTAAACAAATTGTAATTCATCTAGATTTATAATAGTTCTATTCATAGATTAGTAGTAGAAATAAAATTGGCAAAATATTATGTTTAGGTTCAAAAATAGAGTCAATTTTGCTGCTTTCTAAATTTCTGAGCATGTTTGAAATATCCTGAAAAAAAAAAATCCAGATTCCAGTCTTGGTATAGTGACCACCTCCACAAAGCACCTGAGATGAGATGAGGACAAGTTTCCCCATGGACAAATAGAGAGGTGGGATTGGGGTGGAGCCTTTGCCTACTTACTAGAGTTCATTAGATGATGCTTCATTTGTCCATATGTCAAGCTACCGTGCTTCTGGAACATAGTATTCTTGGATAGAAGTAGTAAGGTTTGTAAGCTAACTGAGTCAGGAAGAGCCTTGTGAATTACACTGGAAGCTGGCAGCATGTGCATCACAGCAGAAAAGCTCTGATGAGACACTGCAGTTAAAGGTTGTTTATGGCTGTAGTCAAGGCCAGTGATCGGGAGGAGAAAGACCAGAACATTAAAGGCCAGGAACCAGAGCTCTGAGTGGGTTAAGAGGGCAGTAGCCTGTTGATTTTTAGTCAGGACAAGACGACGTGCATTATAGTCACCTTGTTTAACTTTAAAGCAACTTTCCTCCCACTCTTCCATTCTCAGAAAGGCTAATCAACAGGATCTGTGATAGGGTCTATATATATTACAGTATTTTGTCACATTGGTTTCTAAATTTGAATCATTTGCTTACAAGCCCTGGAGTTATTTGAGAATTTCCTTCAGTAAAGTGACTGCTTTCCATCATTCAAAGTGTGGCTTTTATTTTAGCAGCCCTGTTTGAATAGGCCTCTGCTCACTTCAAGCATTCAGCTGAGACATACTGTTTTTAAGACAAAAGGGAAAGGGAGCCGTTAGGAGTCAGCAGCTGTTCAGGGTTTGTGTCACTCAGGTAACACAGTGTTCCAGGGCATCATGCACTGATTCATTCAGATTTAAGTAAAATGTTTTTTCAGGTTTATTATTGCTCTTCCATTTATTAAATAACTATGAGGTAATGGCAGTATAGGCAAATTTTATTGCAACAATTTACATGTTTTCCCTTTTGAATCTTAACCCAGGTGTGAAAATCACATCGACCCTGCAGGTGTTAAAACTCATCAAGCAGGCTGGGGACCGAGTCCTGGTGTACTACCAGAGACCTGTGGGCCAGAGTAACCAAGGGGCAGTGCTGCAAGACAGTCTGGGCCAGTTGGAAGAAAACTTCTTGTCAAGCTCCTGCCAGCCAGGTTATGAGGAGGAAGCTTCTGGGTTGTCGGTGGATACTGAGAACAGAGACCTGGATTCTGAATTTGAAGACTTGGCAAGTGATGTCAGAGTACAAACAGAGTTCAAAGAGGACCCACAACTGTCAAGTCATAGTCCCAAACGCACTCCAACAACACTCTCTATTAAACCCCTTGGCGCTATATCCCCAGTTTTAAATCGTAAACTAGTTTCAGGAGTCCATCCACCACCACAGAAACTTCCATCTAAAGAAGGAAACAAACCATCGGCTCTAAAAACTTCCGAGGCCACAGAAGCAGCACCAGTGTCCAAACCCCAAGGACCCCCTTTCAAACCACCTGTGCCACCACGGCCACAGGTGAAAATTCCTTTGCCTTCCACTGACTGTGCCCCCACTCAGGCCGACCTGGAAGCTGTTGAAAAGCCGGAGAAGGTGCTGCTCCCTCCTCCACCTGCAGAGAAACCTGCTGAGAAGCAGGGGAAAATCGTGGATCACGGGGAAGATGTGGCAGCAGGGAAGCAGTCTTCAGCAAAACAAGAAGTAGTGAAGGATCTTCCTGCAGAAAGTTGTGGGCCTACGAAGGACACTTCAGATGACCATCAGATGTGGGAGTCGTCAGAGGTTCTTTATCGTAATAAGGTAGGAAAGTGGTCAAGGACCAGAGCATCCTGCTTGTTTGACATAGAAGCCTGCCACAGGTACCTGAATATTGCACTCTGGTGCAGGGATCCTTTCAAGTTAGGAGGCCTCATCTGTTTGGGGCATGTTAGTTTAAAACTTGAAGAGGTGGCTTTAGGATGCCTAGCTACATCAAACATGGAATACCTGTCAAAGTTCAGACTGGAAGCCCCTGCTCCTAAGGCCATGGTCACTAGAACTGCACTACGCAATCTGAGTATGCAAAAGGGCTTCAATGACAAATTTTGTTATGGTGACATTACTGTTCATTTCAAATATTTGAAAGAAGGAGAACCAGATCACCACATAGTTCCTAATGTAGAGAAAGAAAAAGAACTCCATTTGGTTGAGGAAGTTCCTACACTCCCTAAAGAGGAGCATTTTGTGGGACAGATGAATTTGTCAGAAAATAAACATAGTTTCCAAGACACTCAGTTCCAAAACCCAACTTGGTGTGATTACTGTAAGAAAAAAGTTTGGACAAAAGCGGCTTCCCAGTGTATGTTCTGTGCTTATGTTTGTCATAAAAAGTGTCAAGAAAAGTGTCTAGCTGAGACGCCTCTTTGTGGAGCAACTGAGAGGCGAATAGATCGTACCCTGAAAAACCTCAGGCTAGAAGGACAGGAGCCGCTCATGGGCCTTCCTCCTCGTGTTGAGATGGAAGCTAACAAGTCAGTCCATAAAACAACAGGTTTGACAAGGCACATCATTAATACTAGCTCTCGTTTACTAAATTTGCGTCAAGTCTCTAAAACTCGCCTTTCTGAACCAGGAACAGATCTTGTGGAACCATCACCAAAGCACACACCCAACACATCCGACAATGAAGGCAGTGACACAGAGGTGTGTGGTCCCAACAGTCCTTCCAAACGAGGACACAGTGCGGGAATAAAGTTAGTGAAAAAGGAAGGTGGGTTGGATGACAGTGTTTTCATTGCAGTTAAAGAAATCGGCCGTGATCTGTATAGAGGCTTGCCAACAGAAGAAAGGATCCAAAAGCTAGAGTTCATGCTGGATAAACTGCAGAATGAAATTGATCAGGAGTTAGAACACAATAATTCCCTTGTAAGAGAAGAAAAGGAAACAACTGATACAAGGAAAAAATCCCTTCTTTCTGCTGCGTTGACTAAATCAGGTGAAAGACTGCAAGCTCTGACACTTCTGATGATCCACTACAGAGCAGGCATTGAAGACATTGAGACCTTGGAAAGCCTGTCTTTAGACCAGCACTCGAAAAAAATGAGCAAGTACACAGATGACACAGAAGAAGACCTTGACAGTGAAATAAGCCAACTGATAGACTCTCAGCCATTCAGCAGCATCTCAGATGACTTGTTTGGCCCATCCGAGTCTGTGTGACAAACTGTTTAAACTCTGGGTGGTTGGGGACAAATGCATCTGGAATGCCACGGGTATAGCCATGTTTCAGTTCTCTCATGGTGCACTTTGGCCTGCTTCTACAGTTACTTGCTTGTAAAGAGTGAAAGGTGGTTTTCCGGCAGAAACATGTAACGAGCTCACCAGATTGGTGTTTGGATTGTGTGTATACTTAATGGTTTGGGGGTTTATACTGGGAATTGGGTTTTATTAATTTATTTTTAACCTTTTCTAATTATGTAAGCTAACTTTGTGTTTATCAATGTGTGATGTCTCACTGTCATTTTTTTTTTTTCCTTCCTCCTGGTTTTTGAATTAATGTTGAGTCAGAAGCTGTCCAGAGTCCTGAAATATTTTCATTCTCATTTTTATCACGGTTCTAGCAGCAGATTTGTTGCATGCCTAAATTGACAATAGTGATCATTGAGGGAGCAGGTTTGAGTCTTCTTTTGTCTGTGTTGTGGGGTTTGTCATCTGCACTTGCTTGAGGTTTTTGTTATATAGGGTTTGGGGGATTTTTGTTTTGTTTTCTTTTGCTGTTGTTGCCAAATATAAATGAAAGTGGACCCTACAGCTTTAAAAATGTTATGCTGATTTAGTTTTTTTTTTACATATATTGCTTGCTTACACTTCTGTGATATTTTTAAGGCTTTTACGCAGCTGAAGTATAGTGAAATTAAGTAATTAGCTAGAAGTTGCATTGAATAGAGGATAAATGCAAAATCTAGTTGGTCAAGAATTTTGTAGATTGGGTAACAGGATTTTATTATTGAAGAACAGTAACCAGTAGGATTTTTAAATATCTCTCAAATGTTGATGCTTTCCTTTTAAATGAGCACTCGTGATGATTTTTTTCATCTTTGGTTCTCCCATAGGAAATAAAGCATGTGCAAGGATATTAGAGTTTCACAGGACTTGTTCTGACAATGGCTGCATTGATAACTGGCTTTGTTTGAAAAAAATTTAATGTAGAAATATGATGTGGAGGACAATTATACAAAATGTTTACTATATCATTTAGTGTCTTGTGGCCTTAAAGGAATGTCAGTCATTCTGAATACTTTAGTAGTTCAGACCATCTTCATTCATTGTAAAGAAAAATAAAGATAGACAGTGTACATAGTACTTGGGGCTAGTTCCTCAAAATGAAGGCCTGCTATGACACTGGGTTCATATAATGGATGCTGGTAACACACAACTGAGAGAAATATGTGAGCTTGACCCCTATTGATATATCTTGAAAAGTCTGAGCCTGTTATACCTGAATTCCCTTTTACAATAACTACTATGATATCACATAAACCAACTGAATTTAAAACTATGGAACAGCTCTTTGGCAGCAGGAAAATTCATAGTATAATAGTAAAAGACTGGCCCATCTGTAGCCCCAACTCCACCAGGAGTTTAAGGTCAAGCTTTTTAGTGAGCTCTGTAGCCACAGGCAGGTTACAAAGGGTCACACAGCTTCTCCATCTCTACAGGTACTTACTCTACCTCACGGAGCCATTGTGAGGCAAACAGGAGCATAACTGCAAAAGTGCTTTGAACAGTAAAAAGCTGTAAAAACAAAAGGTATTATATAAGAAAAGCACTGCTGAGTGTAGAAAGTTATTCCAGTTTTAAACTCAGTAGCGAACTCTCATTCCTGTTATTAAGTGACATATTAGGACACTAGACACAAACCTGTCTTTGGCAGATTTATAGAAAAGACTGTATCTGTGTAATCCCCACCCCACTCCTGCTTTTTTTATCGTTTATTTAAGCATGCTCACAATTTAAAAGAACAACGTAATAGAAAACTTTCCACAACAAATCCCAGAAGCTAAAATGTTGTTCCACATCTTATGCTTGAAACAATCTGCTGATATTATATAGCCATGTTTCATCTTGTAAGCAGTAACTTGCCATTGCTACTAAAGATGATGTGTCTGTAAGTGGCTGGTGTGCTTATGGGTCAGACCATGGAAGTTTCAGTGATGCCCAAGCATGCTCCTGCGCTGACCCACTTGAAAAAGAGCTGTAGAAATAATGCAAAGCTTTAGTTCTGAGAATCTACTCATGCTTTCACGTATTTATCTCTGTAGAACCACAATCATGGAAAGCTCAACACTGCTGCTAATGATGTTTGTAAACTATACCTTTAAATGTAGTGCAATATTTTTCTATTGGGAGAGACCATAGGGGCATCACAGTTGTACTTTAGAGCAGGGAAGGAGGGGAAACTCCAAATATCCTAGAGCATAGTAAGGGATAAAGGCTTCAATTTAAAAGGTTGTATTATATTACATTACTCATGTAATCTTGCTGCCATGCTATGTTATCTATAGCTAAAATAACAATAAAGACTACCACAGAAAATAAGAATATCTTCATTTGATGGCATCTGAAAACAAGGTAATTGGTTCATCTCTGTGGCATTAGCCTGGCTTAATTTGGCCATGCAGACAAGCTAACAATTCACTTTTACTAAACAAATTTGCAAAAGCATTCAAATTTTTACTGTCGCTTCCTTACCTTTTGAAATAGATATAGATTTTTTAATGCTATATGATAATAAGTAGGTTATTCATAGTGAGACCTGTCTCAGGAAAGAAAAATTAAACTATTTAAAGTGTATTCTTTTCATTAGCATTTAGATGAATGAGTGTGATAGATAAAATGAGCAACATTTTAGTATTATTTTGTAATCACAATATTCTATATTTCTTTTTTATTTATTGTGTTGGTTTTTTGAGACAGTCTCTCTCCATAGGTCTGGCTGTCCTGGTCACTGTATAGATCAGGCTGGCCTCGAACTCAACAGATACCTGCCTGCCTCTCTGCCTCTGGAGTGCTGGGAGTAAAGGCATGTTCCATCATGTCCAGCTATACTGTATTTCTTAGTATCAAACTTCATTCAATAATACTAGAACTTATTGTATAGATGCTTTCTCATTCCAAGAAAAAGAACAGCCTAAAGTTTTGAGAATAAAGTCTATCTAAAAAAAACTTTTAACATATTTGGTTCTAATAGTAAGACAATAGAATTTAAAATTTTAAGTCCTCTAAAGCAAGTTTGAAATCACTTCAATTTTTAAAAGATGTATTATCTTAATTTCTAAATTGAGATGATGGATTTCCTTATCCCCTCCCCTCAAAAGGCAAATAATGATGAAAAGGGGATTGATTACCTTTATCTTGTTTGATCCTGTGTTCCTTAAGGTCTGAACAAAAACAGCAGGCTACCCTAATCCTGGGAACTATTCCACTCAAAATGATCCTAATTTCTACATCTTGCAGAGCCTGTTCTATCAAATGGCTAGATGTTAGAGCTCTCTCTTCATCAGGTAATTATCTGCTCACAGCAATTAGAACAATATTTGAGGTGAAGTCCAGGGAAACTCACTGTTTCTCCACACTGATAGGTTATAATTGGTCATATGTTTCATTTAAAGCAAGCAGTGGAAAGCCAGAGGATGGTTCACCCTAGTCTGGAGTGACTTTTGTCTGACGCCTGCAAACACAAAGAATGCTTTTTAATTAAATATCTACAGCCAAAATAATATTTATGTATTTTATTTCAACAGCAATGTTGATGCAATGGCTTATGAAGGAATATAGGCAGGCACAGCACAGTGTTCAACAAGATTTATTAAGTAATTTAAAGTGCAACCAGGCTGATACACTTAGCAGTCAAAAGAAAGTTATCCATTGCTACCTCACTAAGATTTTTGTGTCTGAATTACCAAGTATAAACAAAAACCACCTCTACTTTGTAAACACAATCAGAGAGCTGTAAGTTTTTTTTTTCTGGTACATGCACAGTATTTTTTAAACACCCTATTTTCTCATGTACCCAGAATATCAGTCATATAAATGTCTTCCCACTGGGTACAAGTTATCTTTTGTTCTTCAAACAGTTATAAATGTCTTATCTTTTCCCTGGAGTTGAGTGACAGGCATGCCTTTGCTGACTGTTCTTGCTGAAGCCTCAGAAGCAAAAATGACATCAGCATCAATGATTGTATATGGTATTGTGAGTGAGGAAAGCTACAAGCCCTCTCTAATCACACTACTTCTGAAACTGCCCTGGAGAAGTATAAGTTCTGCCCTTTGATTTTAGTCATGTGAGAGTCCTCTACAGCCATCCTTCAGAGTTGCAGACCTGTGTGACTATCTAGTAGTTTAATGAGTAGGAAGCCTGTTTCCCTCAAACACACCAGATTTCAAATCACCAAGGTCTCACAGAAAGTTTTATAAAGCAAAAGAAGTATTAGCCACTTTCCTAAAGAATATGTAATTGCCAATAAGTGTGAGGGGTTATTATCCTAAAGTTCTCTTAATGTCCAAGGTCACACAAACACAATTCAGCTTAACAAAACTTACAGGTATTTTTTATAATTACACAACTGCAGAATTAACACATACTATTTGAGACATTCCATACTGTATTTGTATTCCTGAAGGTTGTAATCTCACACAAAGCAATTACAGATAATGGTCACTAATAACATTAGCACACTAGCACACTGGAAAGGTGTATCAGTGTCATGCTTAGAAAAATTATTCTACCCAGCACACAAGATGATACAGTAACACATACACATTTGTAGATGGTTTTTTCTTTCTGCTTCAAAAAGGGAAAGTGTCCTGACCACCCTATAATCTTTTTTAACATAATCATGTTAGACATGAACAATTTCATTCCTTCATCTTTGTTTGAAATTCATTTCTATGTTGATATGAACAACTTTTAGGAGTCTAAAAAAATAACAGCAACTCAAAATTAACAAATCTAGAAAAAACACTTGGATGACCTGCAAGCAGGTGAGAAATGTAATCTGATTTTTCACATATCAGCTTGATAGCCTTGTTTCCTTTTCCAAAACATGAACTAGGTTTGATAAATCATCGTGCTTTACCTTGCCATTGTATAAAGTGCATACTTGATTTTCACCCAATAAGACCATCAAGTATATATCTGTCAAAGAAAGCAACATTTAGATTATTTTTTCTGCTTTCAGAACATGTACTTTTTACCCCTTGTTGGCTTTAATGATTGCTGCCAATGATATGACACAGAAAACAGAATTTACAACCATCCCTTTCTAGGTAGGTGGTCGTAATAGAAAACTAATGACAGCAAAGGTTTATGAGTAAGTTTGAAAGATGGCTGACACAATTTCTTGTCCTCTGCGCTTGAATGACTAACTTTTAACTCATAAATACATTGATACTAATTACAAGTTAAATAACAACACATTCAGTGTTGCTACCTAATGGCGCTGTCTTACATGATCTGTTTCTCAGACTTCTAGTTTCTTGTTGGAGAGTCTCAGATAATGTGTGCTTTAAACACTCATTACCAGTATTCAGAAAAAATACAAGATTTTTTTTGTCCAAGTGTTCGTGAATGTAAGTTAAAAAATTATATTTGATTTGGATTCAAATATTTATACATTTACAATAGACCTATCTCGTCAAAATATATTGTGTAATATTTAATAAAATCAAATACATAAAATAAAGTTTTCAACACTATTTATACAAACCCCTAGAAAAGCTGCTTTTTCTTTATAAGGCTGTTGGCAGTCTATCATAACCATGGAAAAGAAAGTATCACCTTTGGTTGTTTTACTCTTTGCCAGGAATGGATGGTGTGACTAAGACAGCTCTGCACAAGTCAGTTTACTGGAAACATTGCTACACAGTTAAGCACTTGGCAACTTCAAGGGTTCTCAGTCACTTTCAGATTCTTCATCATCACCGATAGGGTATGACTGGACGCTATTCTGAGTGTACATTTTTGTCTTAATGGGGCAGTTGTGATCCATGAGGATAGCCTGAAAGCAAAATGCAAGTACATTAGCTTCTTGTGTAAAGAGAAAATGGTTCTAACCCACTGCTGTGAAAGGTTAATATTTTGAAAGCAATTGCCGTGTCTTGACCTCAAAGACCTTGAATTCTCCACTTAGTTTTAGGTAATAAGAAGTAAAGTGGTCTCTAGGATGTTTTCATTGTACCTGTTGGAGGAGGTAGAAGTTGAGTTTTGTGAAACAGGATGGGTGGACTAGTTTAAGAAAAGTTAAACTGGAAGCCTTGTGAGGGGTGAGAGCTGTAGACCACCACAACAGGAAACTTCATGAAGATGTTTGAAGGGAACTCTTTCTGGAAACTGAAGTCTGAACTGAAGTGCACTCTTATTTCTAGTTAGGACTCTTGCTCTGTTGGTAACCAGCTACATAGATTGTTTTACAGTAGGTTAAGACCACATTTTACCATGGCCTTTTAGATAGTTTTCCAAGTCAAACATCCCAGGGCTTTGTTCATAAATGTGATGTTCAGATCATCTCTCTCCTAGCTGTTCTCTTTTAGCACAAAGTACACACATAAAAGCCCTCTCCCCTCTTGTTTCTGAAAGTTAAACCAAAAATAAGTGTACCTGCAAGAAGGAGAATACCAACAAAAATGCTTTCTTTTCTAAGCCTCCCTCAACAAGAAGTGCTTGTAGTCATTATTCCTGCTGACAGTGTGCGGAACCAAGCAGGAATCTGATAACACAGCTGGCCTCCTGTCAGGAATGGGACTACAAAATAGGTGGAAGCCTTAGCTTCACAGCAAGCCTAAGTGGGGAACTGAGAAAATGGGCACACAGGCTTACAGAACTTGGCCTAAGGATGTTCACCTCCCAGCCACCAAAAGCTACAGATGGTCAAGTTCTTTATGTAGAATAGTGTATTTGCATAGGACATACCTCCATGTGTATTTCAATTCAGCTTTACAGTACCCAGCACAATATAATGCAAATGTGTAGTGTAACTAGGTGATGATTTTAAAATGTACAAATTAGTACAGATAATTGATTTTTAGACATTTTGGGTTCAAATTTGTTGAGTCTACAGATCAGAACTAGTGGGTGCAGAGAGGAAAAGTGTAGCCATACATAGCTGAGGAAGAAGCCCAGGCAGCCCCAAGACAAATTCCACTGTTTTAAAGCATCCTATGGCAGCTGGAGAAGTGCAGTGTGAGGCCTTGTGCAAGCCACGTGAGTCAGGTATGTCTTAGCAGTCTTTCTCCTTTATAGAAACCATTCCCCCCAAGGGGTGTGTGTGTCATCTGTGCCTGTGTGTGCGTGCGTGCGTGCGTGCATGCATGCATATGTGTGGTCTGCAAATCTGAATGGATTAAAATGTGATCCTGCCTGTGGCAGTCTGTCTTGGTGTCTATTCGTTATCCCCAACTTGTCCTGAAAATGTGATAAGAACACTCAGTTCTTAACCCTTTTGTCATTTCCCAAGAGATTCTCAAATGATCTGCTGTGTGACACACAGATAAGGACTTATGTTACCCTAGTCAGGCTGTCATCTCAAACCGCCAGCTTCAAACCAACTCCCTTTCTAATTACGCTGCTTGCTGAGCAAGTTGATAGTTGTACTTAAAAGATTTGATTACTAAAATAGTTGAGACAACAGACGTTGTATATGTCAGTCATTCTCCCTGTGTTACTCAAAGGTTTAGCCTTTGATATCTAAAGGTAATCTCCGCAGATTATGTGCCTAAATATCACTATGGAGATGGTCTGGGGGTCGAGTGGAACATGATAAAAATGAAATCCCAGGTATCCTACCTTCACAGTGACAGTGCTATCAACAGTCCCCAGAACACTGCCTTGGTTACAATACATTATATAAGACTGGCAGTCATCAGCTGGTCTGGATTTCTAGGGCACCTACTGTGTGTATGACCTTACCCTGAAGGTCCTATACCAGTGACTTAACTCCAAAGGTATGGACAGGTCCCCCAGGGTCACAGGTGCCGCTAACTTGAGGTTAAGGGTTAGCAAAAGTTCTGCAGGGGGGATGAGAGCTTAGGTGAATCCTGAAAGACGGGAGGATTTGCAGAATATAAATTTGAATGAGTACATCAGATTATGGAGGTAAAACACACTAATTGTCATGACCACCAGACATCTTAGCAGGCAATGGAGACACAGTTGGAAAACACCACCAAAGCCAGGAGCACCAGGCATGAGCCTTGGCCTTCACTTAGTCCAAAGGAAGCAAGGCAACATCAAAAAGGGTGACCAACATTGCCTTATTCATAACCACCTTAGACTTCTATAGGTAATCTCTAGAAATCCTGGACTGTAACATAGAATAAAACTCAATAAAAACTGATCTGGAGGTTGCTGGATGTGGTAGCACATATCTTTCAACTCAGCACTGAGGAGGCTGAAGATAGACAAGAAACCTTTTTAAGTGTGTAAACTTTCACGTGTGTGGGTGGGTGTGTGCGTGTGCGTGTGCATGTGTAAAGGCCAGAGGTTGACACCAGGTGATCTTCATGCTTCACTTTATATATTGAGGAAAGGTCTTTCACTTGAAGCCATAGGGTGTCAATTTGTGAGTTAGCCAGCCAGCTTGCTCCAGAGGTCCTCTGCTGAGGTTACAGGTGGGCCACCACATCTGCCTGACATTTACGTGGGTGCTGGGGATCTGAACGTGGATCTTCTTGAGGCACCAGCTTTACCTATTGAACTATCTCCTCAGCACTGGACTGGGGTCTAAGCTAGGAGGACCTTAGACAGCCATACGCTTAAAGGTGCCTGCTAGCCAAAGACCACTTCCTTTCCCGCCTTGTCACATCCTACCTTTTAAAAATAGTTCTCTAAATCTGAAAACCAAAGCCCGTCTTGGAACACCCTGTTCTCACCGGGGTGTTCTGAGAAGTAGGAGTCCTGTGTCATTGTCTTGTTATAGGGGCAGTTTTCCAAAATGGTGGTGCTGATATACATGCCTTACACTTGACAGAGACTGAGTAATAAGGAGGATCTCCCCCTTTGCCATTATCAGTTGCATTATTTTTAAAAGCAGAAACAACTGTCGCTTACAGTCCTACAAAACACCATTGCATAGGCCACTGTCTCACACAGCCGCAGGGTGAGTACCTGCAGGAAGTACTTGGGGAGAGAATTCTTTGCTCTGGGTGGAATGTCTTCTGGCCCCCATGTCTCTGACACTCGGTGGCTCATGATGTTGCACTTTAATGGCATCCCTCCAATTGTGGGCTTTGATTATAGGCAGAGAAATGCCCACCTTAAGAGCTGATGATTTATCTCAATGGGCACTGGCTAAGGATTGGGACATTTTACAGTGAAGTGGCTTTGAAAACCCTGTCGTTCATGGTGTTTTCCCTTTCAGGGCTGCTCCTCCGCTTCCCTCAGTATCTTTCAAATGAGCCAAAGCACTGGTTGAAATAAAGAAGAGAAACTGGCTTTCTCCCATCTTCTTTCAAAACACTGTGGCAGCCGGGCGTTGGTGGTGCACGCCTTTAATCCCAGCACTCGGGAGGCAGAGGCAGGCGGATCTCTGTGAGTTCGAGGCCAGCCTGGTCTACAAAGTGAGTTCCAAGACAGCCTCCAAAACCACAGAGAAACCCTGTCTCGGGAAAAAAAAAAAAAAACAACACTGTGGCAACTGACTAGACAAATACCTCCCCCCTCCAGCATCTCCTCAGCTAGTCTTCTAACCTCTTTCATTTCCTCCACTAGCTCATGCTGGAAGCCACATATAGATAACACAACAGCCACTAACGTATACTGTCTCGGTGCTGGATGCAGATTCCAAGCAGCAAAAGGAAACTCTTGCCTTGAAGAGCAAAGACATCTGGGTGCTACTGGGTGGGCAGAGTAGAACAGTGCTTTCGATAGAGCAGGAAGGGTACGTGGGTGACACTGGAGACGGTTACTGTTGAGACTCTCAGGACACTCCCGTGGGGTGTTATTTTCTAGTGCAATGGAGAAAAGTGAAGATTGCAGAGTCCTGAGGGGGGGGCAGTGCAGCTGCCCCCAGGCCCATGCCAATTCTTCATTGTCCCTAACAGCCTTAACTGTCTCCTGGGTGACAGAAACATTTACTGATAATTCAATGTCTTTGGTCAAAAAGGTTTGGGAGTAACCTTCATTTAACCTTAATCAAATTATTGATAATGTGTCCACGGAAGGACAGCCTCCCAGCGCTGTGTTGAGAGTCTTCCATCCATTCCTGAAGGGTATAGGCTCAGGTCAACCAAACAGGAGCCACAGTGATGCATACAACCAGACAGGAAGCAGGAAGTTAGAGGAGGAGTGATGCTTCCACCAGAGGGTCTCTACAGCACCGCCCTCCTTTCCTAGGAGCCCAGCCACGAAAAAAACTGAAGTCTGTAGTCAAATCCTACACAGTTAAGGGCACAAAGTCAGTGGCTGGAGATCAACTTATTTTTAAGCTATAACAAATGGACAGGTGAGGGTAAAATGCCTCAAACTTAGGTTACACAATCTAAGTTTTGGTTCTGTCTTTAAATTTGCTTTTGGAGGAAACCATCAAGAAATGATAAAATATCAGGACCTGTTCAGTTCATGTCAGAGAACCATTCTGTGCTGGGCTTGGTGGCAAAAGCCTGTAATGCCAGCTACTCCTGAAATTGAATCAAGATCCTAACTTCAAAGCCTGTCTGGTCACCTACAGAGTAAATTCAAGGACAACCTGGGCAACTTAATGAGACCCTGTCTCAAGATAACATTTTTAAAGGTAAAAAGGCCTGGAAATGAAACACAATAGAAGAGTGATTTGCCTGGCACACTCAAAGCCCTAGATTCAACCCACAATATCAGAGAGGGGAAACCTACAGAAATCGCGTCTGATCTACTCCAAAAGAACATGACAAAGAAGCCTTAGATCTCTCCCTGAACACAACACCAGCACTTCCCATGGACTTCTCCTTCATCCTTAGTTCAGACAGTCTCCTTTCAGCTAAACAGTAAGAGCATCTGATGCTTTAGTCTGGGGCACCACTTCCAGGACAGACGACGCAGCAGCAGCAATGAGCTCTTTCTGTTGGGTAAGGTAAGCACCTTAGAAAGGGCACGAGACCTAACATCTCCCACTTCAGATTTAGAGCCAATAATTTGAGCTGGTTGGAAAAAGAAGCACTTAATTCCCTATAGCTTGCCCCGTGACGGTGATTCTAGTCATGAAGACAAGAATTACATAGTCCTTTGTGCTCACGTGCTCGGCCCAGAGTGTAAATGTAATCAGCTTTCACAAAGACTCCTAAGAGCATCTCCAGACTCTCAACGCCTGGTGAGGACCAAGACACCACCTATCACCGAGTGCTGTGAGGATAGAAGAAAAGCAATGGGTACCACACCCTAGGAATCAGGAGGATGTTAAAGAACCATAACCAGTTAGATTGAATTATCTCAGGGTTATATTTGATTGGCAAGAATCACACAGTGTTAATCTGAATACAAGAGTAATTTCATTGTTCAAATTCATGAACATGAGGCTTAAGAGAAATAAATGACATGAGTAAAGGAAGTTACTGTGTTGGTGCCTAAAAAGGAACCCTCATATCCTTGTCTCTGTTTAGAGACTTCCATTGGAAAGGAGCAAAAATGTGGTTAGAATTGAACTGTGCAGAAAGTATCCAGACAGCCATACCCAAATCATCAAAAACCAGCTTCCTTACCATTTTCTCTTCCTTAGCAGGTGGACTTCGAAGAAAAAAGCAGAGCGGGGCAAAAGCAATATCAACTATCCCGATAATCGTCATGAGCCAAGGAAAGCCGATTGCCTTCGCAATGGCACCACCAGCAGAGGGACCTTTGGAGAAACAGAAAATTAGCCCTTTCTCCAAATGTGTCATTGCCCAGAAAAATGTAAAGATTTGTGTATTCCAAGGAGGTTTTTATCTGTCCTGCGTTAAGGTAAAGGTTGTCTTGAAAGTGATTGTTCTTACCAACAGCATACCCCATGCAAAAGGCCACATCCGCAATGGCATACACACTCCCATAAACAGAAACGTGCCGTAGGTCAACCAGGTAGCCCATGATAGGCATCATGGAGGAATCCACCATCCCTGTGGATAGTTAAGGAACAGTGAATGGAAAAGTGATATGAAGCAGAAACAGGCTGAACACCAGGGTCTGTGTCCTAAACTCAACACATTGCCATCTGTTTCCCTCTGTCACTGCCACTTGCTCATCTATGACAAACTCCTGACAGCAAACCTTTCACGGTGACCAGTAAGCCGAAGGCTTCAGAGAGGAGTGGAATTCAAGATTCTGAGACTGTTTTAGTCCACCTTCTGTAGGCTGTATTACCTCACTTTGCAATCTCTTGTAATGGGCCATGTTTTGGGGTAATGGGAAGGTTCACCCAGTCCTCTGACAACTCACCTATTACTGTTCTACAGAGGTAGTATATATTACAGGCCACTGGAACCTGGACTACTAGCTGACCCCTTCCTGATCCACTCATTTCTCAATCATTCTTCCCCTTGCTAGGTAGCACATACATTAGTCAACCTCTCTCCCGCCCGTCTCCAACACCTGGCCTTAGACCATGTGAGTTACCAAGCTGAAAAGTGCCTGAGTACTAGAACACGAAGGAGGGTGAGAGAAAACCCCTTTCCTGCTCAGAAAGCTAAAGCCTGAAGAATTTGTCTTGTTAGTTGGCTGAAACCAACACCAACTAAAACCAGTGTGACAAGCTGTGACCTCTTGACAAGGATCAGAAAGAGCACAGGAGTTCAGAGTTCTGGGTGCAAATCCGAGCTGAATGAGCACGGTCACGCCTAGCCTCTGAGCACTGCTTCCGTCTGTGTACATATGGTGTTTTGAAAGCGGTTTTGGTGGCTGCAGTAAATGGATGCCTATGAACACATGCTGAGGGGCTGGCACACAGCAGCTGGATGAGAGAAATGGCCTTCATTTGTTTAGTATTTGCTGATCATTTGATGTGTGAAGCCTGCTGGAGAGAGAGTAGAGCAAAGCCTCTTACTAAGCAAAGAGATGAAGAAGGAATTACAACAGGAATGGTGTGAAGGTCCATGAGGGGACAGAAGATGCCCCGGTCGCCCAACCTCCTCTAGAGGGTCGGACGATATCCCATTCGTCTGTTCTGCTATACCACTCAAAGACTAAATTCCTGACACAACGGTGTAACAGGTGTGGCCTTTATCACAGTAATCAGTATTTATAAGTGAGAAACAAAAGCATACCATTAGTCCAGACTTTCCCTAGTGTGTTATTTTTCTTTGCCTCTGGAAATCCCTGCAGTGCACAGCATGGGACCTCACCAGCCTACGTCTTCTTTATCAGGCCTCACAAGAAAAGGGCATGGGAAGTCTGTCCCTAGCCACATTTCGGAAGGTCTGCTGTCAGATCTGAAGCAAATCGAGCGTGCTACAGATGAGGAAGCACGTGCTTGCTAGGGCGTGGCAGTGAGGCTTCCCCTTTGCTTCTGCCAACACCACCTGAGGCCAACAGCATCTTCATGGACCTGGACTATGGGTTGCTCCTGAGCTAATCTCATGGCAGCCTCCACTTCAGTTCCTGGAAACCCGAGCTTTGGTACCTATCTGGAGTCTGTTCACTATTCAAGAAGAGAGTTCCCACGAGAGACAATGCAGTTCCAAACTGAGGCACAAGGCCTGGGTGACTTACCAATTGCAAAACCAACTCCAAAGTTGGGAGCGATGAGTCCATAGATGTTTTTTGCAAAAGGAATCTGTAAGAGGAAGTTAATATACTTAAATAAAAGATATTGACTTAAATAAATCATCTTGGAAAAAAAAGCCTAAAACTATCTTCTATCTGGGCCTAATGAACCTGTTCCCTTTTGAAGGAAATTAGAGTAGGAAAAGGAAGGGTGTTGCCATCCTAGCCTTTAAAAATCCAAAGCCTAGATTGAGGGTGCATTTTAGCGACAAAATACCCACCTACTATGCATGACACTTTGGGTTCAATCTCCAGTGCAATCAATCAATAAATGTATGACAAAGTCTGAAATGTAAATCCTGCCTTCTGTGAAAACTTAATTTCGTGGTTCCTCTGAGAGATGGTTTCATCACCTAAGTTTTGACACAGAGAAGACAGCCATATTTGGCCACTAAAATATGTTTATTCTGGTTAACATCTCGCTGTTCAGAGTAGCTGCCATAAAGTATTTAAGACCACTGTCAAGTTTAGTGGCTCATATCCATAAACCTAGCATTTGCAAGAATTAAGGAAAGAGGATAGACCAGTTCTAGGCCAGCCTGAGTTACAAAATGAGACCTTAAAGGAAAAAAACTACGAAAATTTAAAAAATTTTTAAAAGATAATTGAAAAATAACTTTGTAAACTACAGGATAAAACAGTTTAAATAACATCTGGCCTAAAATTAAATGAGATACCCATTGGAGTCTTTCCACAAATGTTTTAAATGACTTTTAAAAGCTGAAATAAAATGAAGAACATAATAAAACCAAATATTAGCAAACTCAAACTGTTATAAAATGTTGCATATGGGAGTTTCAGTCCCATATGCTCCCACCCCCTCCCCCGATGGCCTGTCAAATGAAATCTTTCACTCACACATAAAATGCTGATTCCAACAATTATCATTCCCAGAAGAGCACAAAGCCACCTATTGAAAGAAAAAGCACGTCAGTGAACGAACACTTAGGGTGGGCTTTCCCCAAGACACATCTTCAATGAAAAATCACAGCAGTTACTTGTAACAGTTAAGACAGAAACACTGAATGTCTTCAAAGAACCACATTATTACCCAAAACAATGGAATGAATGCTTTCATTTAATCTTACCTTCCCATTTTGTGTGCAAGTATCCCAAATATATTGGTCCCAATGAGATAAGAGACACTTGCTGGCAAGAAAGCAATGCCTGTGGGTTTATGAAAGGATACCTTATCAGTACTTCGACAAGCCACACGTCAGAAAAACTAATAATCACAGACCCCGAAGCAACGATTCGAGAAGATGAAATGAAGTCTAGGGCCCTGCACCCACACAGCTAATATCCTGTTTCATTCTGGACCCCTCATGGCTTATCTGTCCCAGAAAGCTGCCGAGATGCTCCAGAAATGGGAACCATTTCCCTATCAGTGGCTACATCTCCCCTCCATCTGAGTCTGGTGGCAGCATTACATGTGGACTGACAGAGACAATCCCCACTACAGGAGCCCAAAAATGACCACCCAGGTGGTCTGCACATTTGCATATGTTTCTCACTTCTGTAACTCTTTCTTTTTTGAGACAGTGTTTCTCTGTGGCTTTGAAGGCTGTCCTGAAACTCGCTCTTACCACTCACAGAGATCCGACTGCCTCTGCCTCCCGAGTGCCGGGATTAAAGGCGTGTGCCACTGCCACCGCCTCTGCCCAGCCTCACTTCTGTAATTCTTGGCAAAAGGCGCAACCATTGAAAGAATTAGGGAAAACTGAGAAAGCAGTGGAAACTAGCCAAAGCCCATAGTTACTTTACATGTATGTGTGCACACAAGGCTTTGTCACAACAAGAGGACTATGTAACACTACTGCTCCATGACCTATTTTCCTCTTAATTATCTGAACATCTTCCTATCTTAAGAAGAGAGAGGAAAAAAAAGCTGCTTGGTCGTTTTTCATAATAAAACTGACTGACAGATACATTACGTCCAAGACTTAATGGCTCTCCAAGGGGAGACAATGAGCCAGGAGCAAGTTCCAGCAGGCGAAGGCAAAGCTGCCTTGAACGTGGCCAGCACTGAACAAAAGGCACATCAAGGTAAGCCATACAAGCATGCAGGAGATCATCCACTTCAGCTCTACTGCTCATTGCTAGGGCAATCTCTTGACAAGAGGCCACTTTTCAATTTCTCAATTTCAGTGTTTTTCCCTTGAAAGGAGATATACTAGACTTCATCCCAGACCTTGCCCTCAAACAGAGCTTCCTCGTTGTGGATGCCAGTTATGCATGGTGAGTGGTCAGCAAGTGCTGACACTAAGCCATTAAACCCTGGGAGAAACTGTCTGTCTGGAGCCTGAGCCTCTAACGCAATAGGAATTCCAGGTCAATGGGTCCTATGATCAAAACTCGAGAAACAGAATCATACCGGAACTAGGATTCTGGGAAATGACAGTAGAGAGAGCAATCACATGTTCCTGGAAATCATTTCCATCACACCTAGCAATATGCAGAGGCCAAACAGTCAGTCAGTATAATCTGATCGGGCAAACATTTACCGACAGCCTTGTGCCCCGTACACCACCAGCTTACAGCAAAGGCAAGTGACAAGAGTCCTGTCACCGTGGAAGTGTTTTTTAGGGAAAGAATCAGGTGGTGTTTGATCTGTGACATGAGGACGTCGTTAAGATACAGTTCTGAGAACCCTGAGCCTGCAGCTGGTCACACTCTCTGAAGCAGACAGTATTAAAAGGAAGAGCTTGCCCTCAACCTTGTGTAGGGCTGTTAATAGGGCCCAAGTTTCCTTTTGGGGAGTCACAGACCTCACCCTGAACTCAGCCCCTAAGCATCAAGCTATCTGGGAGAAGTCACTTGGCTTTGAACTTGAGGTGCAAAGGAAGCAACAGAAGGAGTCTACCCTCAACAGCTCCAACTCGGGACCCACCCAACACATGACGGAGGAGGCACTGGGAACAGGCTCACGCCAAAGCCGTCCGGAATAGACATCTGCCGATTCCTTCCCCCAAAAAACTACAGCCAAAGCCATTTCATGAGAGCAATCACATGTCACTCATGTAGCAAGTAGGTCTGCTTGGCCCTGACTTTCAGTATCCCCCAAATTACAGGGAAACAGAGTCAGGCAGAGGCCAGATTTCTGGGGCAGCTCCAGGGCAAGGGCCACTGGCTCCAGGCACAATATCCTCCACATTCCTCATCCCACAGGACCCTTCGTCCAGGATCTGGTGTTTGCAGGAGTCACTAGTCCCAAGCTGTAGAGACCACTAAGAGGATCTTTCCTGTCACGCTGAAGATGAGACAGGAGGTAAAATTTTATTCTCTCCAGGAGACAACCCCACCTCTGAGGTGAATGGCAGGCAGAGAGAGCCAAACACTAGGCAATGGCAAGCCTGCATCAGACAATCTTTGATTGGCATCAGGGAGTCTGAGCACTAACTCATTGTGGCCCTGGGGTTCCTCCCTGATCTTAGAGGCTTAAAAAAAACAGCAAGCCACAGGCTTTGTCTGGAGAGGACAAGAGCAGAGTAGCCAAAGTGCCCTGCACATGGCCAGGACACATTCAATTAGGGTCATAAGGCAGTTAAGCGGAGACACTGCCAACGTCGCAACGCTTCCCAGCTGAGACGTGAAGCAAGTGTGTGGTGCTTGATCAAGCCATGCAGTCCCCAAGCGGGCAAACGGTGCCTCCTGAGAACCCTTGAGTGGCAGGGTGCTGAGGACCAGAGGGAAGGAGAAGTTGGCACCTCCCTAAAGGATCAGCTGTGGTCTCCGCGCACGACAGCCTGCTCACACTGAGAGCGGGAGAGCGTGCACCTAGCAGTGGCTTTTTCTCCAGGAGCGTGAAAGCTTGGACAACCTCTTCTGCCCTGACGGAGAAGGTCTGAACCATAGTTTCCAAGCTCCAAGAAACCATCTGCTGCTGAATGGCACATGCGGCTTGTGCTTAGTTTTGCCGCAGGATCCTATAAGATCTACCCTTTCAGTGTCTCCAACTGGGTGGTTTTCAGGATATTTACAAGGCTGTGCAACTGTTGCCATGAACAGAATCCAGAAGGATGCCTGATGGGGACTGTCCTTCTGTATATATGTCTCTCTTATTGGTTGATGAATAAAACGCTGTTTGACCAATAGAGGCAGGAAGACAGGCGGGGCTAGGAGACGAGGAGAATTTTGGGAAAGGTAGGCAGAGAGAGACCATGAGGAGATGCCATGTAGAAACCGGGAGGATAGGATGCACCAGGCCTTCTCTGGTAAGATAAGACTATGTAGCAATACACAGATTAGTAGTTATGGGTTGATAATTAAGGCAGAGCTAGCCAATAAGAAGCCCTAGCCATCAGACAACGATTTTATAATTAATATAGTGTCTGTGTGTTTCTTTGGGGCTGAAGGGGCTGCGGGACCTTACAGGACAAGAAAACTCCAGAAACAACTGTCACCTTTCTCAAAAGAAACCTCCCACCTGCTAGAAGTTCCTCACCCATACCCTATCCTGGGTTGTTTGAAGCCTTTTAGGGACTGTCTGATGGACAGACACAACAATCATTATAGAACCTGAAGGGGCTGGTGCTTTGTTGAGATGCATGTCCTGAGACAGGGAGAGCAAGCTAGGTTTGGGGAACAGATAAGTTTGACTTGAGTTTGATCCCATAGACTACATGGTGGAAGGAGGCAAGCTGTCCTCTGACCTTTTCAAGTGCACTATGGCGCGCGCGCACACACACACACACACACACACACACACACACACACACACACACTCACAGAGAGAAAGAGAGAGAGAAATATAATGAAGTTAGAACTAAGCATCTTCATATGAAGACATCCATGTGAGCTGAAGGAATCAAGGAAAGCAAATAATAAATAAAATAATAAATAAAAATAAATATCTATGACACATAATACATACTTAAACAAAATTGTATGTTCATGGGGACTAGCTTTCCAGATACTTTAAAGCTACAGTGAGTGATTCAAGAGGAGGTCTTGACGAAGGGACAAGAGAAGAGAGAATCCAGAAATGGACCCAAGAACACGTGGCCACTCAAAAAAAAATGGAGATAGGAGATCAGATACTCCCCCTAGAGACATGGCCCAGGGATGATAGCTGGCCACATGGAAAAAAAAATCACATCCCCATCCCAGAATTAGAGCAAAATTAATTCCATGCAAACCTAATAGTATAAGGCAAAAAAACATAAATGCATTAAAGGAAAACAGGGGCTATTTAATTTTTAAATGATCTTGGCAATGGAAAGGCCTTTTTGAGCTAGACAATGACATAAAAACAGAAGCCCGTCAAATCTGACACGCAGCATTTTAAATGTTCTGAGACATGGAACATACCACTTGCAAAGTAAAAGGACACAACAAAGTGAGGGAAATATTTGCAAAATTTCTTGTAAAAGGTTAATACCTGATACACAAAAGGTATCCTACCAGTAAGAAAAGAACAAGCAGCTCAACACAAAAGTGAGATTATCAGCAAGAGTCCCACACTAGCCAAGTGTGGTAGACAGACACCTGTGAACCTGGTTCTCAGCAGACTGAGACAGGAAGATCAAGAACTCTAACTCTCTCTGTCTCTCAGGTGCACATGCATCTATGAAAAGAGGCTCCACTATTAACCTATTGGATCTAGTACCCGTGTTAGTGCAAAAACTACATCAGTTTGACTTGGGGAACATGCCCTACAGATATCTGTCTAAGCATGAGGGAAAGAGGAAAAGGCATGGGTATTCTACAATATGTATTGGTGGCAAAAATGAACTACGGTGCCCTTCAATAGGGATTGCTTGAAAATTCATATCACTGGGATGGGGTCACTGATCAAGCCACAGGGTGTGCAAGCAAGAGGACCTGAATTCAGTCACCAGGATCCACAGAAAAAGACGGGTATGGTGGGCTACACCTGTGATCCCAACACTGGGAAGGTGGGACACCCTAGGGCTCATTGTTCATCCAGTTTAGCTAAACAGATGAGCTCCAGGTTCAGTGAGGGAAAAAGGGCAAGAAAGGGAGTCAAAGAGGACGCCCAGATGATGGAGAGGAAAGTTCCCACGTCTAGATTGGACCATGTTTAGACTGGAGAGCTAGGACTGATTGCCATAATGAGCAAAGGCACAGCAAACTCAGCTCAGGTGATAGACCCAAGTGGGGGTCACTCATCTCTGCCAGAGAGTTCAAGAAATACATTGGTAAATGCTACACAGAGAACCGAGAAAAGAGAAAGGGAGGGCAACGGCCGACTCAAGGAAAAAATGAACTGGGGAAAAAAAAGACCATTGATCATAGTACAATCCAGAGTTCAGCTTGGGGACAATGTTCACCGTCACAATAATGTCAATAATAAATACCAGTCTACCAAAGAACTGTGAGGCAATTATGAGTCGTCTACCATAATCGTCTGTGGACGGTACATCCTAAGACCTCATCAGATACCTGAACTGGAGTACCAACTCTATGAATATGCACCTGTGATACAATGTAGCTTGTAAAATAAACACTGAGGGATTGACAATGAAGTATGACAATTCTAACAGTGTCCTGTAATAAGATTAGTGCCAATGTTTCCTCTCCCTCCTCAATCTCGTTGTACTTTCCCCTTTTCACTCGAAGCATCAGTCAGGAATAGTTAAAAAACAATAAAATAAAAATAAATATATAAACAATGAAATGAAAACAGCAAAAACAAAGCTAAAGTTGAAATTGACCCCAAAGTCCATTTGAGGCAAGCAATAGTGATCATTCTGTCACCTTCCGCAGAGCGGGCACACAGACAAACAGGACCCGCCCTAGTCCTTACCCAGCTGCCACTTTCGGGAACACATGGTCTCCATCATCCAGATGGGCAGGGCGGGCTCCAGCATGGCTATCCCCATATTTGCAAAGCAGATGGAGCCTGCATAGGAGGAGGAATGTTAGTGTGCTTCTGCCTCCATGCTGACTGACTGTGATTCACTTCAAACACAGACCCTGTGTGCCCCACTCAGAAACCCTGCTTCCATAAGATAAACACTAAACAGCAAGCCAGGAGGATAGCGAGGAGTATTAACTTCAATTTTTAGCAAGACCAATCCCAGAGTTATAAAGTCTATAGCTGGAGGGAGCCATTGAGCTCGTTTGGCTTAACCCATCCACCTTTAAAAAATGAAGAAAACCTGTTCCAATTCATTAAGGAAGAGAGCAGCATGGGGCAGCCAACAGAGCATGCACACTATGGGGCATCCTGGGGCTCTTGTGACTGCATTATACTGTGCAATGAACTTGGATAGTTTTCACGATCCCTGCGGTGTCAGAAAATCTAAGGATCATGGCACCCTGGGTAAAAGGGTGCTGGGCACAGGTGTTTTTCTAGCCATACACACAGAGTATACATACAATTCATCATTCATCTGTTAACCAAGCTCTTTGTAAATACAGAGCCGTCTGGAAAAAGACACACAGAATTGCCCTCCGTCATTCTGGAGGCTTCCTGTGCTTGTGCTCTGTGGAACCTGTAATCTGCTAGGACAAATTCAAAGAAAACCGGGCAATCATTCCTGGTGACATTTAACTGCAGAACATCTGAACGATTGGACTCCCTTCCCATCCACCTTGCTCCTAACTCCCCCCACCACCGCCACATGTAACGAGAACCGTGGCTAGTATAATAGTGTTGGGTACTCTTTGATTTTCCTTTCATCACCGAGGTTCCAAGAAGCACCGAGGGCCCAGGCTACACTGCCTGGCTCGTAGGTGCTCAATTCAGGACGTTTACATCTCTAGGACCCCCACCCTCCCATACCACTATTTTCCACCTCTCCTCGGCTCTGGAACATGCCCTGTACCATGCAGAGTCCAGTGCAAGAAGGGGGGGGGGCACTGGCTTCCCAGCACTTAGCCTGTGTGCTGCCCTGGCTAAATCCCACAGCAAAAGGGTTCAACAAAAAAACAGTCCAGAATTTGACTGATTTTTTCTTTCTTTTTCTCTTTCTCTTTGTTCCTTCCTTTCTCCCTCACTCCCTACCTCCCTCTCTCTCTCTCTCTCTCTCTCTCTCTCTCTCTCTCTCTCTCTCTCTCTCTCTCTCTCTCTCTCTCTCTCTCTCTCTCTCTCTCTCCCCTTCTCTCCTCTCCTCTCTCTGTCTCTCTCTCTCTGTGTCTCTCTCTGTGTGTGTGTCTCTCTCTCTGTTTCCTTAAGACAAAGTTTCATGTAGTTTTCTACACAGCCAAGGATAAACTTGTACTGGGATCGCAGGTAGGCATTTACCATGCCAAGTCTATGCAATCCACGGAATGAACCCAGGTGTTGTGCATGACAGGCAAGCTCCATCGACTGAGCTACACCATCCTAGAGCATTGAAAAGAGCTGAATACAAATCTCCTACAGGAGGCAAGATCCATTTGTCTCAAACACTCAGTTTTCTGTAACATGGGAGCCCCGCTAGACAGGTTATCCCCTCTCTGGGCTGAGCCAGACTGCTGGTCTCAGCCTTGTATCTGGGCACTGGGAAGGGAGGCCCAGGTTCAGAAGGGAAGGTAACTGTCTCCCCTGGGACAGAGCCACAGAACCCCCAGAGTTTTCTTTAGTCCATCTAGGCCCCCACGTTCCAAGACATGACTTCTCATTCTGCAGGCAGGCAGGCCAAGTTCAAAGACATGACTTCTCATTCTACAGGAAGAGAGGCATCCTCTAGGGCTCAGTTCTCTGCCAAATGCGCACCTGAGACACCTGAAGTGAGGCCAGCAAGCCCTTCCAGAAAGTTCAAGGCCAAGCAGTGAGCCCTTGACATGAAGACAAACAAACAAGCTAGGATAATGCAGGATATCCCCATCCCTGACCACACACATCCAGCAAGGGGAAATCGCTACTACCCAACCACCACCTTAGAACTATCCCTAACGTCAAGAACCCAGGAGCCCCACCTGCGGCAATGAGGATGTAAGGATCCTTCAGCAGGGTGGTTAGGGGCGTCCCCTTCTGACTCTGTCAGGCAAAAACAGGCGTTAGAGAGAGAGTTCCCCGGGGGCCACCCTTCGGCTTTAACCTCCCAGTTGCTTACCTCTGGCTGCACCTGAGATGGCTGGAGTACAAAGAGCTGAATGGCTACAAGGCAAAAACACAGATGACTCTTGGAAAGCGAATGCGTCCCAGGCACACGCCGCAGAGCCTAAGACCACAGCCACTCACCTCCATCCAAGAGCACCAACGCCGCTAGAACCAGGAAGGGAGCTGTCTTCCCCACAAACTCATACAGCACGCTCCCGAAGGGGGGTCCCACTATAGGAAGAGAGAGATCCATCCACAGGACAGCCGTGGTAGGCGGGTACCGCTCCCCAATGGGAGAAAACCACCCATTTGATACTTACGTTTTGTTCCCTAAAAGACCTGAGGTGACGCCATATGTTCAACTTAGTATCTATCATGTTGGACTCCCCCGTACCCCCCTACAAGGTATCTTTTCACCTAAGGAATGGGAAGACCACACAAAGGCATCCTCAAAGACCAAGGGCCTAAAGTAAATGAGACAAGCCAAGAGCTGTGTTGGCTCTGCAGCACGGTAAGGTCTACAGACCCATTTCTTTGCTACCAGAAGACATGAGAGCCGCTGGGTCCAGAGAGAAGAAAGATGTCAAAGATGGGAAAAGATCCAACTCTTCTTCAGGAAAAGTATCTGTCCCCTGGCCTAGGATGTCAGCCAGGGCAGGGGTCATGGCAGATACAGAAGGCTGGAAGTTTCTCTCAGATTATAGTGTAGACTTTTTGAGAAGAGGAGATCTGACAGATCATCCTACTCAATTCTGTGTTTTATATTGGGACATATGAGGTTTGGGGACAGAGGCCAGGGAGGGAAGGGTATATCCTTCCCCAAAAGGGACTCTGCCTACCATTTTCCAAAAACTCTATGGAGGCAAAAAAAAGAAGAAGAAGAAGAAGAAGAAGAAGAAGAAGAAGAAGAAGAAGAAGAAGAAGAAGAAGAAGAAGAAGAAGAAGAAGAAGAAGAAGAAGAAACAGTAAGGCTGGATGTCTGTTCCCAAGAATACAGATGTGGCTTCAGTGTGGTCAAAACTAATGGGCAAGGAAAATTGTAACCCAATTTCAAGCAGGTCCTACCTTCATGGTAACCATTACATACCTAAGACTCCCATGGCCAGGCCCCCCAAAGCAATCCCCATGGCGTTACCCCTCTCTTCATCATCCGTATACACGCTGGCCAGCATGCCCATTCCTAAACAGAAGAAGACCCAGTCAGTGCCCATGCCCTGGGGAACACCAAAAACATTACCCATGACATCCTCCCTCCCCATTGCATCCTCCCTGCCCAGCAGGCAAACCATCTTCCTTAGCCCACGAGACCAACTGAAATACAAGGCTAATCAGAATCCAACGAGCAGGTGGCCACCCTCTCCAAAAGCCTTTCTCCACCCTCCTCAACCTCTAGTCCCAATGTTAGCCCACCCAAGTGCCCACCCAGGCTCCCCGCCCACTGGAGTTTTCATGCCTACCAGCCACGGATGAGCAGGAGGAGCCAATTCCCTGAAGGGACCTGGCGATCAGCAGGAAGGCGTAACTGCTGGAGAAGGCAAACACTGCCAAGAGAAGAGGCCCAGGCCCTCATGTCAAGATCATGCCCACAATCCAAACATTGTGTGATTCTGGAACCCACCCTTAAACTAATGAGCATATCCATACTTGAGGCCGTGGGCTGCTCCATGAAGCCCCCCTTTCTGTACTATTGCCAATACAACACCCCCTCCTCCCCTAGGTCTAGTCTGATTCCAGCTCAAGGGAGACAGGGCTCCTTCCAAGACCAGAGTGCAGAAGGCAAACAGCAGATACTCACTAACTGTTGAGATAAACATGATGCAGAATCCAGCAAACATGGGAATCGGATAGCCAATTCTGAAAGACACAGACATGAAGAGTCCGATGATGGCTGGCCGCTTTTGTAAGGCTCTATATTGATTTTTGCAGCCGTTATCCGTTTGGGATCAGCTGGATAAGTGGTCTGTCGACTTGTCTGGAAATTCATATACTCAGTGTTTCCTACGTGACCTTTCTGTGTTTGGCTTGTCTTAGAATATGAATACACTTATGGGCTGCCACTCTGGATGGAAATTTCTCTGGAATAAATGTTAACACAATATTGGCAAGTAAACCCAAACACATCAAACAGATGGAGAGCCTATTTCTGTCATCATTGTTATTATTGTCATTAGTGTAGTCTCTGCAAGAACTTCCCCTAAAGGGACAGCCACGGTCAGTCAAAGCAGCACCCAGACACCTCTGCCTGGAAGTAAGGCCGCCCTGCTTTGATAAAAACCTATCAAGTGAGTCACCTGGCAAGAGAAACAGAGGCATTAGAAATCAAAATGTTAAGATATGTCTTCCTGCCATCTCCTGCAAAAAGTCTTAAGTCCAAATTGCTTGGTAGGACGGATGTCCACCACCGAGGATCCGGCACCAGGACACATTGTATCAGGAAGGTGCAATACATTTGCTTAGATAAGTATTCCCCACCCCCACCCCAGGCAAGTCTCCTTTGGTCTCCATGGAGAGAAAAGGCTACCACCCTGAACCTGAATACAGAAAGGTGTCCATACGCAACTGTCTGCCAGGGAACCTGAAACAGAAAAGATTCTTCAGAAACTTCATTTGCTCCTTGTTCCTGTGTGTGTGTGTGTGTGTGTGTGTGTGTGTGTGTGTGTGTGTGTGTGTGTGTGTGTGTGATGCCGAGGAGCTCTTCAAGTAGGCTAGACTTGCTGACCGGCAAGCCCCAGGGGTCCATTCCCCAACACTGGGATTACAATTGCATGTCACCAGGCCAAGCATTTGTATATAGGTCTGGAGACCAAACTCAGGTCCTCATGCTCAAAAGGCAAGTGCTTTACTGACTAATCTATCTCTCCAGCCTCTCCCCTCCATTCTGACTGAGTCACCTCTCCAGCCTCCCTTCCACTCTGCTCCATTTTCTCCTTTCCCCTGCTGTGTGGTCAGGAGCATGGCAGCGGCTACCAAGCACCTCTGCCCTGGAGGTAACTCCAACCCTGCCTCAGCTACTGCCCTGTGGCTGGTTCTCCCTACATAGGGAAGCTCACAACTCCCCAGGTCTCTTCTCCCTCCAGTCTGGAATCCCAGGGACCTGGAAAGGGAGCAAATGAACCTGCATTCAAGGTTTCTTCTAGTCCAGACCATCATGCAAAGTGTCCCATCAGCAAAGTGTCCCTTTGAAGACTTGATACCCAGCCCCACAAGCAGTCACATGGCTGGCTAGCCCACATGGCTTCCTAAGAGTGGCTGACCACCATCTCATCTCACAGATGGGGAAACCAAGACATGAAAAAGTGACTTGTCAAATGTCGTTTGAGCTAACTGTTCTTGGGCTGTGCCATCCAGACCAGGGCTTTTCCTTGTAAATTTGGCAACCTCATTGTGTAGGCAGAGGTCACAGATGTGGTTTTGAGTAGGATCTTTTCAACAGTTCTTTTTGTCATAGATTGTGTGTGTGTGTGTGTGTGTGTGTGTGTCTGTGTGTGTGGACATGTACATGTGTGTGTGCTGTCTTCCCTTAGCCCAACACACATGCGCTCCACACTCTACACTGGCCAAGCGGGCAGACACAGCAGAATGGTCAAGCGGTCACCTTGGCAACACTGGTGCTCAGCCCCAACTTAAAGAAGACTGAGTGGGCGCCTTGTGGGATGCCACCATCAGACTCTCTTAGCTCTCTGTACAACTTCAGAAGGAGGAGGAGGAGGAGAAGGAGGAGGAGGAGGAGAAGAAGAAGAAGAAGAAGAAGAAGAAGAAGAAGAAGAAGAAGAAGAAGAAGAAGAAGAAGAAGAAGAAGAAGAAGAAGAAGAAGAAGAAGAAGAAGAAGAAGAAGAAGAAGAAGAAGGAGTGTTGTCCTGTGCTCAGGACACTGAGTAGTGAAGGGGACACAACAGCCTTCCTCCTTCCCCACAACGGCTCTGAAACAACGGGCAGGGACTCAAGTGACATTAGTCACCACTGGCTGAGTTTCCTCCCTTGTCTCCACCCAAGGCCATCTCAATTAAAGTACTGCTAGCAAAGCTGGGTCTGATTCAACCAGCTGATATCCTAATGGCCCTGTTATCAACCCCTTGTGAGCCATGCTGGACCACAATCATTCTCTACACAGCACCAGGGAACAATTGGTCCGGTTTGAATGTGACTGAAAAAAAAATCACGTATTGACTCCCTCAGGAGACATCTAGAACAATAGATGCTATACTGGCTGCAAAAAACTAACGCATGTGGAGAAACCCCCATGCCCTCGTTTGCTTTCTAGTGCTGTGACGAACACTGTGATCAAATCCAGCTTGGGGAGGAAAGCATTCATTTGGCTTACGCGTCTCAATCGCCCAGGGAAATCGGGACAAGAACTCGGGCAGGGACCATGGAGGAATAACGCTTACTGACTTGCTGCCCTCAACTTGCTCAACCTGCTTCCTAACACAACCCGGGACCAGAGGTGGCATGACCTTGGACCCTCCCACATTCATCATATTTGTCAAGGAAATGCCCCCCCCAAAGACTTGCCTACGGGCCAGTCTGATGGGGACAATTTAGCCGAGGTCCCCCTTTCCAAAGTAACCCTGGTTTGCATCAAATTGATAAAAACTAACCAGAGTGCCCGCTGACAATTGATACTTCTTCTGTAATGCTAATTGTTCCTTTTTACCAGAAAGACTAACACAGACTCTCTTCTTGGTATGGTCCCTTCAACCACGGCAAATGAAAGAGAAGGATGTAAATAAGGACCCTGTAGAATGTGACCTGTCACCAGCGGAGGCACGATCTCCTTTTCAATAATGTCTGCACACCCCTAAAAGGTGCAACAGGAAATGAATGTCAAGAAACAAGAATATCTTAAATTCGCCCGGTTATTACAGGAAGTTGGTTCGGCATTTAGGAAATGAAATTCTTAAGCTCAGCCCTTGGGTCTGCTGGAGTTCTGGCTGGTTGTGTGCAGGGACCTGTGCAGACCACACACCTGCCTGGGTTTGAGTCCCTGTGCTGGGAGCAGAACGCTCTCTCTCATTCTGTTCCTGGTTCCTTCTGGCTTCAGTGTGAGAAGCCCATTGTGAGCTCATTGCCCCCCTCCCTACCCATCCCAGGGATGTCTAGGACGGGAGATCCCTTTCCCAAACAGCTGGTTTCCCTGTCTGCAGATGACTTTGAAAAGGTCACTGCCTCTTTCTACAAAGCCCACTTCAGACCAAGCGGCTGAAGCTGGAGGGAACAAAAAAAAAAAAACAACAACAAAAAAAAACATAACCCAAGAAGATTTCAGAAAGCTTTTATGCCCTGTGGCTTCCTGCCTGTCATTCAGATGTTAGCTAAGGTCTGCAAGGAGAAATAACTGCTTTCAAATATACTGGGTAACTATGGAAATAAATTAAGCCAGTGACACTGGCTTGATAAAAAGCAGACCACCCAGACAACGACAGGCTGAGAAGGAAGTGAAGGGAGATGGCTCCCAGTGATGGAGTGACTCTGCTCTCAGGCCATTTGCTGGCTTGAAGCAGCGCTTGACTCTAAAGGTGCAACGACTATTTAAAGTGGGCCCTGAACAAGCCAAGACGTGGTGACTACGTCCTGGACTGGGGAGTGTGGCCAAAAAGTTGCTTGTGCATACCTTTCCACTAAAAAGGAGAGGGGAGGAGAGAGGGGCAGACGGAGCTCACCATTACCTGGCTTGTGAGAGAGGAAGGTAACAATGTTCTCACGTTGCCTTTCTAGAGCATTCCTTTTATACACATGCATGCCTTTTATTGCTTTTGTTTATTCCCAGTTACCCCCATCCATCCCCTCTTCCTGCTCTCCCCACCTCCCCCTCATCTCTGCCCTGCATCTGCTCCTCAGAGAGGGTAAGGACTCTCATGGGGAGTCAATGAATTCTGTCCCAGGGATCAGGACCCTTCCACTTGCCCCCTCCCCCACTCCCCGTGTCTAGGCTGAGCAAGGTATCCACACATAGGAAAAGGGGCTCCAAAAAGCTAGTTCATTCATTAGGCATTGCTCTTGGTTCCACTGCCAGTGGCCCCACAAACTGCCCAAGCCACCCACTGTCACCTGCACTCAGGGGACCTACTTCAGTCTCATGCAGGCTCCCCAGTTGTCAGTCCGGAGTCAGTGAGCTCCCACTAGTTTGGGTCAGCTGCTTCTGCGGGTTTGCCCATCATGGTCTTGACCCCTTTGCCATACATGAATTTTACGTACATAAAAGTCAGTTATTAGCCCAAATGATGCCACGGGAGCCACTAGTAGAATCCTGCTGCCTCCTTTGAGATACAGCTACCATTATGGAAAGAATAGTTCAACTAGAATTATAAAAACAAAAAAAAAATGCATGAGCATCCACTAGGGAAATGGACCAAACCCCCGAGACATTAGAACATGTGAAAAGTTAAGTTCCTGTTCCAAAAGTCAAGCGTCCTTCCTTCTCTCTCCTGTTACACAGTGGCTGCGAGGATACAGTAGCCCAAGTGAACACAAAACAAGAAAAGTGTGCAGCCAAGGCTTGCCCCAAATGGCCATGCTGTGTTCTCAAAATTCAGTTATGAGATAGTATCCCAATATTTCAAACAACAGACAAACGTCCTACACCATCGTGTGTCACCACATGACAGCCACCTTGGTCACGAATACCAAAAGGGGAGTGGAGACTGTGATGTAGGGTGTCTGGGCTCAGAGTGGGCTCCTCTTAAGCAAACACAGAGTATTAGAGAAGAGGCTCTCGACAGGCTCTTCCATGTGTCTTTAGGAGTGTCTAAGCCTGGGTCAGTGCTGGGGGAGGTCCAGGTGGGAGAGACTATTTTAGTTTTTAAGTTCCCCACATGGGTGGTTAAAAAGTATACCTTTATCCATTCGGGTTGGCCCAGAAAGGCCCCAAGGAGATGTTGAGAGTAACAATTTTAGACAAACTGTATCATATGGCGCAGGAAAAGAATTGGAGGGGCGAGAAGCCAGGTTAGAAACAGGTGTATCTGCTCCACACACCACAGTTGTGTGTGAGTATTTTTTTTTCCTGATGCCATAAACGCCTTTACCTCTAAAATTCTAGGACTGGAGCAGAGGCCTCTGGTAAAGCCAACAAGGTGTTTGCTATGGCTTTGTAGCCAGGAATCTAGGTACCGTCATTCACTGCCCTTTAGGCATTGATGTTTACAACACAAAATGCGAGTTACACACAGCTGGTCAAATCAGAAACACGTCTGTCAGTTTTAAAACGCTGTTTTGAACACATTTGCTCACAACACTGAAAATGTGAGTCACGCCTCTTGTTGGTAACTGAAAGCAGCGTTGGAACAAATTACATCAAGACTGCAGTGCCTTCCCGGGCGACTGGGAGAGCTAAAGCCAACGAACTTGCCCTTCTTGGTTAGTTGGCATCAGAACAATGGCTGGGAGCAGAGCCTTCGAGCGGCCACAGGAGTCAATGCAAGTGTCTAAATCTGCATCTCCTGAGCTCGGAAAGCATTCTCGGAAATTGCACAAAAACTGCAACAACTTCGAAGGGATAAGAGAGTTCACCTGACTGCTCTGTTGTCAGTAAATATTAAAAATGTTTGCATTTCTGCGTTCCCAGGCAGCACCAGATTCCAAAATAAAATAAAATAAAAACGTGTTTAAATGTAATGCATACCCAGGACAAACAGTCAGGGGTTTGCTCTGTCTCATTTCCAAACTGGGTCGCTCACCATAAGATTAGACTACCGCTCACAACCCAAAACAAAACTGGGATTTTCTTGGAAGGCAGTCTGAGGCACAAGCCTGTGTAGCTTCAACCTTAGAGCTTTAGGGCAGTGATTCTCAACCTTCCTAAGGCCTCCACCCTTTACTACAGTCCCTCGCGCTGTGGCGACCCCCCAACTATAAAATTATTTTTCTGCCACTTCATAACTATAACGTTGCTGCTGCTACTAGCTGTGATGTGAATATCTGGGTTTTCGGGCCCCCTGTGAAAGAATTGCTTGACCCCGGGGCCACGACCTCAGCTTGAGGGGAAGAGTCTCACTGCTGTTTCTCAAAGACATAAGTAAAGCATTAAAAAAAAAAAACAAGATTGGGATTTTGAAAGTGGTTTGTTCGTGACTCCCACTTGGAAGATTGGAGTATTCGCCCCACTCCAGCAAGTTGGCTAAGTGTTACCCAGTGCCTAGTCATGTTCCCGCCTAAGTGATTGGCAGGGCATCATTACGATAATGTCCTCAATTTTCCCGTGTAGCATTCGAGCTGTTTGCTCTGTCAGAACACAAAACCCTGAGCCGTTTTTCTGTAATTATACCAGATGCATTTAAAGAAGTGCTCTTAGTCTTGAAAAAGAAAAGAAACAAGCCTATGCGTGACTCCCGAGCTCTGTTTGGTTTTGTCCTGGAGAACAGAGGAGGGGCAGAATGTCACCTCCATAATGGGGGTTCTCGGTGGGCGTTCACTCAGTCATGCCCGGGTTCAATTGCTAAGCCCGCTTTGTGTGGAAGCCACGCAGTATTGCTCAGAGGACAGGAAGGTTGGCTGGCTGGAGCCTGGGTGGTTAACACAGGCTCGGTGGCGGCAGTACCCAGTCCACAATATCACCCTGCAACAGGAAGTGAGCTCTCTGTCTCTCCCCGTGAGTACCTCAGCCGGAGGCTAGTGCTGGAGGACAGCAAGAGTTGTTACACCCTCTCTGGTCCTCTGAGGTCACCTCAGACCTTCTCAGCTCGCAGACCTTGAACCCCAGAGAAGCACAGGGCTCTACTCATGTTGGACCTTTATTAGCTCTCTGCTATATAGTTGCTATCTTTGATACTTTCTAACATTTGAGCACAGGAGGGCCCATATTTTCATTTTACACCGCATCCCACAAACCTTCATTGTGTGGCTCTGGGATCTGAAATAGCTCACTGCCCCAATAGTTAATGCCTGTGTCTCTGGTCTAGCACTTGGTACCTGATAGCTTCACCTAGGGACCCCTTCCTGACCACTCCCATGCCCCTCCCTCTTAGCACCATCCCATCCTCCAAGCTCTTGTCCTTGCCTTTTCTAGTCTGTGTTACAGCTATGGGCCTGAAATTATGGTCACTCCCCTCTCTACCATTGTAAAAATGAGACAGAAAATCTTGTATAGATAGCTCAGGCTAGATTACTCTTTACTATGTAGCATAGACTGACCTTTATCTTAAGGCAGTCCTCCTAGATCAATCTCCTAAATGATGGAGCTGCAACCTAACTCCACTAGTTCTCACTCCTCACAGCTGACATCTTCAGGATGTCAGTATCCTGGGCTCTGAACCTCCAACAGAGAACCAAGCCAGCTTAATTGTAGAGGAACACTTGTTGGATGGCTGCCAACAATGGAGACAAAGATGCCAAAAAAAAAATGTAACTTCTAGGTTAACTCAAAACCAACTTCAGTGGCTTGGGTTCTCTTCCCTTGAAGTATGAGGACAAAATGAAGTGACCAACAGCAGGGAAAGAACTTACCCCAGAATCTCCAAGTCAGCTCAAGTTTAACCTGTGCAGCAGGGCCATTGATCTCTCCCACGCTTCATCCTAGCAGCTGTTAGATCTTTCCCATGTTAGCCCTAACGTAAAGCACCTTGGCTTTCTGCTTTCTTTTCTTGTTTGGTGTGTATTTGTTTTTATTGTTGTTTTGTTTTGAGATAGGGTCACACGTAGCTCGGGCTGGCCTTAAACTTGCTATGTAGCCAAGGATGACCTGGGACTTATTTTTCTCCTACCTCCCCCTCCTGAATGCTGGGATTACAGTCGTAGGTTACCATACCCATTTATGCAACACTGGGGATTGAACCCACGGTTTCATGTATACTAGGCTAGCACACCTCCCCCTCCTGAATGCTGGGATTACAGTCGTGGCTTACCATGCCCATTTATGCAGCACTGGGAATTGAACCCACGGTCTCTACCTGCTGAGCCCCACCCCCAGCCCCAGCCCTAACCTTAGTTTTCTCTAATCAGTCACAGAGGTAGGAAGCCATGTGACCATGCTGGCTATGATCACTGAAGGGTCTCTGCCCCCTCACAGGCTTCATCCGAAGCACACGGCTTACCTGTTGGTCAGCAGTCCGATGAATGGGTTGGTAAGGAGCTGGACGGTGGCTTTGGAGGCAAACAGCAGCCCAACTTGCACATTTTCATTCAGGAGGTCTTTGTCTTTGCTTGGACAGTCAGAAGGAACAGTGGATGCGTTGGTCACCATGAGCTGTGTGGTGGTAGCCTTGTATGGCTGCTCCCCTGGGAGGCTCCCGGTGGCATTTCTGGTGACATTTCCAGTGATGGGAATGGTAGAGTTGTCATAGTAAGAGAATATGCCCTGGAGGCTTCCTGAAGTGGAGGCTGTGAGTGCTGGCTTGGTGGTCTGGATTTCTGTAGCATTTTTCTCATGCTCCATGCTGTACAGGTAACTGGGTATGATGGGAACTGGGGGTAATGTCGGGGAGAGAATCAGTTATCACATCAGAACCTTTTCTGAGACAAAAAGCCATCAAAATTAATGTCCTGTGGAAAGACAGATGAAACCCAGAAAAGTGGACCATGTCTCCCTAAAGAGGAAACCACGTTCAGACAACATACAAGGGACAGTTTCATATTGCTTAGTCTGAGAGGGATTAGAGAGATAGATGATAGATTATAGAGGTTTTCTCATTACAGAATTCCTTCAGAGGAATATGCAGCGAAGGTAAGCAAGTCAGTGCTGACCCAGGGTCAGAGAGGTTCAACAGACTTCAAAATGGATAAAGCAAGGAAACGGACATCTAAATCCATTATGTACTTTGGGGGGTGGGTGTGGGTGGGGTAACCAACCCTTGCAGGCAGTGATAAACTGGGCATTCTCAACAGATCAACTGTACCGCTTGACCGGCGACCTGCAGGTTTTCATGGCCCTCACTGAGAACCCCTTAGACGTCTATCGTGGAGAAGCAAAGCTGCTACTTAATGTTCTACAAGCTCTGGGCACACCGGGAACATGGGGCGCTGAAGACAGAGGCCAGCAGAGACCCTGGCTCCCTGGGAATCCCACAGCTGACTCTCCTGAGCTGGAAACAACAGAGCTTCTCAGACTCTGCAAGTGGGGGGCGGGGGGAGGCAGGCGAGGAAATGACTCACCACCTGAGAGTCTGAATGAAAACCAAAATTTTCTCTTTCAATTGAAACTTGGTTTTCAAAAAGAGCCTTAGGTCTTTCACCACGCTAACCCTAGAGTTAAAGCACCTTGACTTCCTGCTTTCTTTCATTGCTTGTTCTGTTATTTGTTTTTTGCTTTTTGTTTTGTTTTGTTTGTTTTAAGATAGGGTCACTTGTAGCCCAGGCTGGCCTTAGTCTGTTTGATGGACTAAGAGGCCTGGTTTTGAACCATGTGGTCTGAAGTTGTCGTTTTAGGAGAAAGTGTGGGGCGGACCAGCTCATTCCCGTTCTCTCTGTCACCGAGTCCTGCTCCCACCACAAGGAGCCCTCAGACCAAATACACTTGAATGCCGCTTGCTTTCCTTCAGAGCTAGATGGCGACTTGCTCGTTCAGTCGGCCAGCAACTGTTAACCCACCTTTCAGCAGCCTAGCACTAGTCCTAGAGGGCGGCAGGCAACTCAGCGCATTGCTCCACTTTTGACAAGAAATCTTCTTCATCGCAGTGAAAGTGGGCAAAGGGAAGCAGGCAATTATCAGGAGGAAACACAGCTTCTGGTGCTTATCGGACCTCACGGGTTCTGACCTGACCTCCAGGAAAGCGAAGCCACAAATGCAGCTTCCAGGAGCCCGGGTGAGGCAGGCTAGTATTCAAGGATAGGTTTTCGTTTTGTTTTGTTTCGTTCAGCGCGTTCTTCAACTTTTTTTTTTTTTTTTGGTGTGGGCAGAGCTGCTCGGATAAACTGGGGCCCATGGGGGTGCACAGGACAGGTTGCCAGGGACGAGGTGCCTGGACCCAGACCAGGGCCAGGGGTGCCGGGGACCCAGGGCTAGATAATGAGGGCAAGGTGTTGCGGACACAGTGCCAGGGACAGAGTTGCTGAGGACGAGGTGCTAGGGACCCAATGTCACGGATGGGGATGTCTGGCATCCCCAGATGGGATGGCTGGGACGCGAGGGCCATACTTACTTACCCACGACGGTGAGCAGCATGTTGTCCAGCAGCAGCGCGAGGAACACGATGAACAAGATCAGCTTGCGCGAGTGGCGGCTGTCCCGCAGCCATCGCAACAGAGCCAGCTCGCTCAGGGCCATGGCTCTGCTGTGCTGCAGGTGCGGGTGCGGTCAGTGGCTGGGACAGCCTGGAGTCCCGAGCCACACGAAGCACAAGGAACCGCGTCCACCAGCGGTGGCCTGGGACGACAGGGAGCGTCCGCTCAGCTCAGTCCCGGATAACGTCCCTAGGACCTCCTCCAGAGCCGCCGTCGGGGACCTGACCTGGGACCCAAGGACGCGCTGCCCCTCCCAGCCGCGCCCAAGGTCCCCGCTCTGCCCGAGTCCTGGGATCCCCGGACCCCGCCCACTGCCTTAGAGGATCCCCGAGGGGTCTCTACCCTCCTCGGCCTCGTGTACCTCCCAATCACCTGCGAATGCCTGCTGGGTTCTTGCGACACACTGCCCGGGTCTCAGTCCGTGCGTCCCCGCGGCTCCAGGTCGCCTTCTCCGCCCCAGCGCCCCAGAGCCCTGCTCAGTTTACCCAGTCCGGCTCTGACGTCACGGACAGTGCGGAGCGGGGGCGGAGGGGGGCTGGGACGCTGGCCTCCGCCCACCCAGAGCCGCCTCTTGTCCCCAGCCTGGACTTCCGTCACGCGCCCACCCTGGCGGACCCTGGGGACCCGTGCAGGGAAAGAGTGGGGAGGGGAGGGGAGAAGGGAGCTGCAGGGGCTCCGGACAGCGGACAGCGTCAGGAACCCAGAACAAGGAGTCTAGGGTCCTGGCGAAAGTGTCAAGGCCACTGACTGGTGTGCAGGTAACTCGGGCTTTCTTCTATCCCTAGAGCCCAGGAGAAATTGTGTAGGTCTTTGAGCCACCATACCCATAAACTGGCGCCACCATGTCCATAAAATGGCCCAAAATGATATGAATGAAGGCTATGGGATGCTGCCCCGGGGTCAGAGTGCAACTGGGAGGCTAGAGCTCTGGGCACCTTCGGGTGCGATTGAAAACAAAGGAAAGGAGGGCAAAGAGGGGATGAAGAGACCCACGGAGTTGAGGCCATGTTTAAAAAGGTGGGGCAGCCAGCTTGGGACTCTGGGGCCACCAAGAGCCACCTGTGGGTGGATGAGCAGGAGAGCCAGGAACCAGGAGGGTGCATAGCAAAGCGTAGGTGATGACACCTTGATAAGTGAGCTTTCTGCCTGCTGTGCTGTGCCTGGGGTGTGATTTCGACAGTTAAGAATGGCAGAGCCCCTGAGCGACGGACCTGCTCTGTATGCTGTCTTTGGTTAGGAATGTACCTGTGATATAGACAGTAGAGAAACATCTCAACACACACACACACACACACACACACACACACACACACACACACACACACACACACACACACACACACACACACACACACACACACACACCACAAGGGGCCGGGTGGTTTCTGATGCCCGTCTGTGAGGTCAGAGGATGAGAACTGTGGTTTTGGCCACTTAGCATCCCGGTTACTGTGGCAGGCTCTCAGCAGAGTCTGGCCCTGCTTTGTTAATGCTCGTCTGCTCTCAGCAGGGGCCTTCTTGGAGCAGTCTTGTGATGTGTGGCCCTCTCTAGTCTCTCCACTGTCTCTTTCCTTTGGACAGAGACCCCCGCGATTCCCACTGTTACCCTCCTCCCCATCATGATAAAAGATGCATGGATGGGAAAAGTAGGTCAGTGACACGGGTCTCTGAAAAAAAAAATCTCAGAATGTGTGAAACTTAAATATTAAACAGCGAGGGAGGCGGATGGAGACACACTCAGGAGGAGAAAGCAGATGGCAGAAAACTAAATGGTGGAGGAATGGAATTTATGGAGCACCCCAGGGTGTTGTCTCTGGAGCTTCTGGGCTCTGGTCTGGGTCACCGGGTCGGTGATCGGTGACACGTAAGCACTCTCACCAGATGCAGAGACCCCAATCTAGGATTTCCTTGATTACTGGAATATGACCGGTTATATGGGCTTGCCCCACCTTATTTCTCCCAGCGCTGAAATGAGGATATTCACTGAACCTTCTCCTGCCTGGTGGTAATGAGAATTAGTGCCTTGAGATGTCTGAATAACAGCCCCCAGCACAGTGTGTGGCACACAGAGCCTAGCCATCCATTCAGCCAGCCGAGTGCTGCCAACACCATCACCCTGGTAGATTCTGGAGAGACATTAATGACCAGAGGAGACCAAGTCTTCCCATTCAGATATGTGGGGGGAGGGTAACATGAAAGAAACAACACAAAACTCCAGTGCAGCTAACTGGAGAAATGGGGTTCCAGGGAGCATTCCAGACCCACAGAACTCGGCCTACATGGGGGTTTCAAAATTTTTGATAGCCCTCAAAATCTTTTTTAGCATTATTTTTTTTCTGTGTATGGGTGTTTTGCCTACACAAAAGTCTGCACACTACATACACCTATGGTACCATAGGTGGCCAGAAGAGGACATCAGATCCCCTGGAATTGTAGTTATTGTAGTTAGTGAGCCATCATGTGGAGTCTGGGAACCCACAGGTGCTCCATTCAAAGTGGCCAGGAAACCTTTTTTTAAAAAATCAAGCTGCCTCACCCACTTTTAAATTGGTATCTCTTTAATAACAAATTAAAATATTAACATTATGTATAAATCTATCTTACTGCTTTTTTTTTCCGAGACAGGGTTTCTCTGTGGCTTTGAAGGCTGTCCTGGAACTAGCTTTTGTATACTAGGCTGATCTCCAACTCACAGAGATCTGCCTGCCTCTGCATCCCGAGTGCTGAGATTAAAGGCGTGGGCCACCATCGCCAGGCTTCTTACTGCTTTTTAAAATGTATCCAGTGGAATATAAATGTTATGAAAATATAAAACCACCCCATTGGCTTAAAAAGGCAAACATGTTTCTCTTTAACAGTTAAAAAAATTTATATTGTGTCCTCTACTGGTTACTTTTGTAAGCTTGAGACAATGTAAAGTCACTCCAGAATGGAATCTCAATAAAAAGAAATATATAAATTAGATTGGCCTGTGGGCATGTGTATAAGGGTTATCTTGGTTGTGTTGACACCCAAGGTGGGAAGACCCACCCAACATGGGTGTCACCATTCCCTATGCAGGGAATCCTGGATTCACACCCTTTGCCCTTAACTGAGGATGGCATGGGACAGTTGAATCAAGTTCCTTCTGCCTTGACTTCCCCACAGTGTGGAATATAACCTGCAGTGGTGAGTCAAATAGACCCTTGCTGTAGAATATTATTTTAGGATGTGTTACGTTTATGCTGTGAGATGTTTATTTAATGATAAAAAATTGTCTTGCATTTCTTTGTGTTGCATTTGTTTAACTCTGTGGAACTGTGCTACTTTGCCTATTTAAGATACCTGATTGATCTAATAAAGAGCTAAACAGCCAATAGCAAGGCAGAAGAAAGGATAAGCAGGGCTGGCAGGCAGGGAGAATAAATAGGAGGAGAAATCTGGGAGGAGCAAGATCAAGGAGCTAGAAAAGAAGGGGCCAGCTAATCAGTAACACAGCCAGACATGGAATAAGAAGGAAAGAAAAGATATACAGAGAGAGAGAAAGGTAAAAACCCAGAGGCAAAAGATAGATGAACTAAGCTAAGAAAAGCTAGTTAGAAAAAAGCCAAGCTAAGGCCGGTCAAATATAAGAAAGGATAAACCTCCTCATGTGTTTATTTGGGAGCTGAGTGACAGGCCTTCTAAAGAGTGAAAAAAAAAACAAACAAACCAACAACTACACACCCTTAAGTTGCCTTTTTCAGGGTGGGTTATCATGGTGACAAGGGGACTAAGGCCACATATGCTTTTACAGCTTCAAAGTGTTCCTGCTTCCTTTCCAACAAAATTGTATACTACTTTGATGTTTCTGAAATTTAATTCCTTTGTTCATCACCTCATCTATTATGTGAGCTGAGGTATATGAATAATGCATTAACTTTTAATTCTTTCCTTATGGCCACAAGGCTCTAAAACGCCTGAGTTTTATTCAGGGCGGTGTGATTATAATTATTAGTGGCTACTGATTACCAATGATACACCACATATGATATGAATTTAACAAATAATTATCAAACATAGAAACAAAAATTGAACTGGAAGCGTTATTACTTTGGACATGTGTGGCGGTACAACCTCAGCTCCCAACGCTTGGGAGACTGAAGCAGGGGGATGGAGAGTTTGGTGACACCCCTTGCTAATTTGTGGGATTCTGCCTCAAAAACATAAAAAGCAACGACAATAAACAAACAAGTAAATGTGCACCGTCTTGATTAACAAGACACCAATATTGCGCCTTTTATTTAGTGCCCACAGGAATTGTATGACTCAGAGCATTGTGACAGTAAGATGATCAGAGTTAGACCGGGTGGGAGGCAAGCTTTTACTTCATCCAGGGAGATGGCAGTTGATTGAGAAGGGGTCAGACAAAGGAACACCCCGTGTCCTCAAGCAGGTAACGCTGGTCTCAGGTGACTTCTAAAATAGAGGACACTTGGAAACGTAAGGTTGCATGTGAAGTCTTCATGTGTATTAGAGTCTCCCAGTCCCCACAGCCGCCTCTTACACTACTCAACCCCTGACTCCCCTTCTTGTGGTTTAGTTTCCACTGTCGACTTAACTAGATTTAGAGATGCCTAGCTATAGGTGTGGCAACACCTTGGTGAGTGTGTGAGGCTTCTTAACTAAGGAGGGATGATTCTTCCTGAGCACCGGTGATACTGACCCACGGGTTGGAACCACAGACTAGATTAAAAGAAGAAGCTGAATGGAAGACACACCATCTGTGTGCACTGTGACCAAGACCAACTGCTTGATGCTCCTGCCACCACGATGGACTGTACCCCTTTCAACTGGGAACCAAAATAAGCCTTCTTTCCTTCCATTGCCTTTGCCTTTAGGCACTCTCCTTTGAACTTGACTTGCTTGTGTACAAGTTGGAGCCTTTGGTGGGCAGGGTCTTGCCTTCAAGGTACCTTTCCTGTTATCCCAGTGAAGAGCTCTGGGTTTCTCTTTAAAGACACCAACCTGTAACTAATAGCTATTTCTCTGAGCCCTCCGCATCAGTGATTTTAAATTCACCATCTCTCCTTTCCTTGCTAAGCTTCACATTTTCTAGATCTTTCTGCCTCTCTCACCTCTTCTCTCATTAGAAACCTGGGCAAGGGCGTGGAGTAGCAAGCATGAAGAGTTAGCCTGTTATGATAGAATTTGGCCTCATTCAATCTCTCAGGACATGAGAAGAACATAGTCACAAAAGTCCCACCATGGTTGGCCTTTCTATTAAATTTCAAGACTTAGGGACAGTAAAGAACATTGCCATCTGGGACAGGGTGGTTTTAAAATCAGACATTGTTTGAGATCTACTGGCCTGAGTCAAAGCTGCAGAGAGCAGCCTAGCTTGGACACCTTTCTCAATATATACGAATGAACTTGCATGCGCTACCTAATCTTATGTACCTCAGTTTCTCATCTGTTCCTGCTCAGAAC